CCCGTATCCTCCCAACGCCGAGTATGGCCAAAATCTCTCTCTTCTTGGCTATTTCAATTTCATTAGAGAGACACCTAAGGGTTCGTGGTGTCCAACATCACAGCAATATGTAGAAAAGGGTCTAACCAAGGCAATTTACCCCTAGCTCAGGTCAGGACATCTTAAGTCTGATGTGCATGTGCAGGTGCCCCCCTCATTTTAGTCTTGTTTCAAATCAATCGTATTTTTATACGGTGTACGGCAAAAAACCGGTAAACATTTTCGTCACAAAATGATTTTTCTAGCCGTCTGTGTATAGTAACGCGAAGATAACAAACTTAACCGCACAGTACACACACACACGCAGGTTGTTCTTCCCCCTCAAAGTGATTAACAATGTTTTTCAACGCTCCGTTGCGCTTCAATGATCGACTGAGTGTTTTATATTTTCTTTTATTGCCCATTGTTTGTTGCGTATCTTGGATGCACGCATGGCTTGCTTTTTTTACCCAAATTTCGACCGAGGCCGCCTAAATTCAAACTCTCCCACACTTTCAACGTACGCCAATGGTTTAGTTTCAAAATTCGATATTTCGATAAAATCAATATCGATTCACACTTATTTTATTTTATAGATTGTCACGCGTGCTAACCTAACCTAAAATTGATAACAAGCCGAATACTTTCGAGAGATTTCTGCGTAAATATCTCGTGTTGTTTCATTATTAGTGTGTGTGATATTGTAAAAAGGTGCGGACAAACCTAACCTTTATAGAAAGAACCATTTTCCAGTTACGATGACAAGGTTGGTCCGCCATGATGGAGTAGCGAGTTTTCTTGGAAACTACTTGATACGGTAGACGGTGTGTTTGTTTATCAGCTAGCGTTTTTATTGGTTAGATATCAATGAGATCAACGTATACGTTCACCCGGCTTGTGTGTATTTGTTCGCTTCCCGAGGCGCCATATTTTATTACAAACATTATCTTGTGCTAATATTCCGTTATCAGTCTTTAATTCCTCAATTTCAAACGATTTAGGTATCCAGGCAATGTTTACACTGAACGTGTGTATACCTCAAATCGTATGTATATGTATAATTCGGTTGGGGAATTTATCAGTATACAGAAAAGATTTATCATAAATTTGTTTGCTTTTTAATAAATTATTAAGCCACGTTAATTTATTTATAATATCATTTCACCCGAGCTTATTATCATCTTCTTAAGTCAGTTATCTCGATATCGTTCAGTACGTTTGATCGTCGATGCGCGAACATGGACGAGAAACAACACGTAAGTGTCCATCTTTGATTAACAAGCGTATTCTGATCGTATCGATCACCGGCGAGGTCTGGGCGACTCGAAACGTCGGGCGAATCGCGGTGAATAGAAACGCCTCTGGCGTCAACACACGAACCGTCTCTTATCTAAGCTAACGGTTTGCTTTGCTTTCCTCGTCACATTGGTAACGTGTAATAATTTTGTTTCTTACCACTTACATCGCTTCTAGAAGTCGCTCTTAACCACTGTTTGGGTTTGAGTCGATCAAACGAAATCTAAGCCTAGTCGCGAAGTCGATTTTTGACCGAAGAAATTTATAATCGGTGCACGATCATAGAAATCTATATAATCGGTCTAAATAAAAGCAAGTAACTACTATAACCCACTATCCTTGGATCGATCGATAGTGTCGATCGAATGAAAACAAAATCGATTAATCACTAAGATTTAAACCATCAAATCTAGGGTTCTTAGCAGTTTGGTATTATCATCGACACAAATTGGTCTATCGAAACGATCATATAATCTGTCTGACGAAAATGAAGTAATTGTTGTAACGAACTATACTGCGATCGATAGATGGGAATCGATATTAATCGAATGAAAACAAAGTCGATTAATCAATAAGGTTGTAACCATCACATCTAACATTCTTTGAACTTTGCAATTGTCATTGACAAAAATCGATTGAATGGATCTAAACTAAAAAATTTAAAGGGTTGCTCCAGCATCGATAGTATCGATCGAAAGGCTACATTTTTTCATCAGTAACTATTAAACTTTGTAATGTATTTTGTTTAATTTTTCTGAAAAAAAAATTGTCACGATTTAGTTTTCGATGTTTTGATTAACATTTCTCAATTCTGGACTACCGAATCGACGTTCAAGACAATGACACAATTTCTTCATATTTTCGCCCGATTCCCATACAATTCCGAATTTAACTCGTAGGAGATTACCGAGTGTTTTACAAACTCGATTGTTTGATTGTTCTAGTTTTATGCGTGTCGACATTTTTACCTCGCTCGTATACGAGGCCTCCTAAAAAAAATCGTTCCCAAATCCGGGAGTTATCACAAACCCCCATTCCTCGGAAACGTCGTTTCCATTTTTCCTCATCAAAACAATCGACGAGGCATTTATAATAAATTCACCCCCCCGACGCCCGAGGGGGCCGGGTAGGGGGTGGTTTCGATATTCAACCCTTTCAATTAATCAATGCACTCCTTAAGGCCGCGCGGGACGGGGAGAAGAGCGTGAGGGGATAGCGGATGCTTGCTTCGCGGAGATTACTAATGTCTTTATTTTCAATATCGTAATTGATTGATTTTGGGCGCTCCACGTAGAGAATCTTTCCTCCCCGACAGGCGTATCTGTCTTTGTTTTATGCTCCGCGCCCGGAGGGAGGGGGGTTATTAATTTGGGGGGGGGGGGTGGAACGTTTGGGGTTGATTGAAAGGAAATCTGATTGCCGGCGGAGCCCTATATATATCCCGACGAATTTTAAGGATATCGATCAGCGTTTGTTGCAACTTAGGGAGAGGAGCGTTGGAGGTGAAAGGGGGGTGCTGTGGTGAAGCCGTTCATAGTGCTAGTATAGTTTTAGGGTCAAGTGGCAGAGAAGTTTCAGGAGATCTAGTTTATTAGTCTCGCCCTGGCGGTGCCTTGAAGGTAATATATTTTTTGAGTTCAGCTTTGACAGCCTGTATATATTGCCTGCAGAAAATTTTAGCACAAGAAGAATAGAAAAGAGAAAAATAGTGCCTCCGAAGATAATGAATATGTTTTAATTCTTTATTTTTGACAAAGTGCTATCGAAAGAATACCACATTCAAATTGAAAACTGTGGAATTGACGAACCGTCAGTGGCCATGTTGATTGTTGAAAGTTCATGCAGCATATTATGGTCTTTAGTAAAAAAATGAAAACAAAGCTGTTTGTCCTGTTTTATTGGAAACAAATAATGGGCCTATCAAGATCAGAGAGGAGAACAGAAAAATTATGACAAAACATTTTACCCATCAGAGATGCAGTCATGAAATGTATTGGGTTGTTCGGAAAGTCATTTCGTTTTTTTTTGGGGAACATGAAAGACAGTTTTCGTATAATGAATAAATATTTTATTAAATTATATATTGGCCATTCTGGTCCGACACCTTTTGCCATCTTTCTGGCAGTAACATAATTCCCCTCTCATAAAAGTTTTGGTCCTTGCTGGCAAAAAACTGGTTCAGGTGGTTTTTGACATCTTCATTTGAGATAAAGGTTTTGCCAACCAAAAACCGGAACAAATAGTAGTCGGAAGGCGCCAGATCTGGAGAATATGGTGGATGTTGCAGTACGTCCCATTCAAGCTGTAAAAGTTTTTGGCGAGTGACCAAACTTGTGTGAGGTCTCGCATTATCCTGGTGGAACACTACACCCTTCCTGTTGATTAATTCGGGCCTCTTCTCTTTAAGTGAATCATTCAATTTGTCCAGTTGATGACAATAGACTTCTAATTTAATCGTTGTATTGTCCGGCAAAAGCTCAAAAAAAAAACGATTCCTTTGACATCACACCAAACGGAGAGCATCACCTTTTTTTGGTGAATGTTGGCTTTTGACACGCTTTGAGCCGGTTCATCTTTTCCGCTCCATGACCTCTTGCGTTTAACATTGTTGTATACAACCCATTTTTCGTCCCCAGTAATAATCCGCTTCAAAAATGGATCATTTTCTTGCCTTTCAAATGGCCATAAACAGTCGAATTCGACAAATTTAATCTCTCACCGATCTCTCGTGTGGTTATTCGCCGATTTGCATCAACTAATGCCTTTATCGCATCTTTGTCAGCTTCGACCGGCCGTCCAGACCGTGGTGCATCTTCGACATCAAAATTGCCGGATCGAAATTTTGCAAACCAGTTCTGGCACTGGCGTACTGTTAACACGCCTTCTCCATACACATCCGTCAATTTTTTTCTCGCTTGGACAGCATTTTTACCTTTTCTGAAGTAAAAAAGTAAAATATGACGAAAATGCTGCTTATTGCTCTCCATATTTAAAAGGGCACCAACCAAAAACTACTGCGTAGAACTTTTTCACACACAAGCCTTGCAATATCAGCTCTCAAGTCATATAATGGTTATGCTGCTTAAGTGTGAAGTTGGTTTCGAAAAAACGTAATTAAGTCCTCTGACGGGAAAAAACGAAATGACTTTCCGAACAACCTTATAGAAACTAAAACCTCACTCGAAGAATAAAAATCTACAATTTCTCGTTCATATTTATTGTCTTTTCAAACATGTTTAATATCAAAAGCCAAGTTAAAGTTAAGAATTCCAAAGAGGCGGCTCTAGTTTGTTATAAAGGCATTAAAAAATTGGTGCACAAAATATTGATTGATTGATTGATAAAATGATAAAAAATACAATTGTTTTCTTAACGATTTGAACAAAATCCCGTCAAACCGCCGCCCTAATTTGTTCAGGGCCGGTCACTCAGCAAAACAGTAAGACCCTAGCCGGTCCGCTTCTGTCTCCCAGCTTTTTGAATGTAGGCTGTAATCATAGAGAAAACAAAAAAGAAAAAACAATATCAGGTCTAAACATATATTTGCCCAATGTAAAACTTGCTTTGGTGCTCAACAACCATTTGTCTCCTGCAAATAATAATAATATAAGATAATAATAAGACGCCTCCATATTATTATATCTAGTACCTATGAACTTGAGCCTAACCATATCTGTCTATTCCAGATAAACCAGTTACTAGAAGAAGTCCAAAGATTGCAAGGGTGCATCGCGAAGTTCCAGGACGAGCTGGAACAGAAACGGCAGCACATAGCGCGACTCGAGACGCGGCTCGAAGCCCAAAAAGACTACGAGGACCTGAAGAGACAAATCGGGATTCTCACGTCGGACCTGTCGAACAATCCGGACGCAAAAAACATCGAGCTGCTGCTGGAGAAGTCGAAAATCCAGGAGCGCAGAGACAAGAGCCCGTCCAGGGAAAGCGAAGGTGAGGATGCAAAAAAGTCAAACGGGTTCGGATCGGGTCGTCGGCGCGGCGGCCTCGCATCGATTTCTACGTCCTCCAAGTGTGCGGCGATTGGCCAACGTTTTTATTATTTTTATTGCTTCAGTTTTTGTGAAACTCGCGCGGCCCGTTATTGTTTCCAGTTTTGAAAGGATCTCGGGGTTTCGTCACCCGTGGGAACTGGTTTAGATTATTATGTTCGTTCTGGTTTCGCGTTCGGTCGCCATTTAATTTATATAAATGACATTCGGAATTGTCAAGCCGATTTTACCTACTCAAAGTGCAAAATGTGTTTTTTAATCGATATTATATCACGGCATCTTATAATTTTATATTTACCAAACATGTGCAACAAACTTAAAGCAAAACGAGTATTCGATAAACATATTCTGAAAGACCTCGTTGTATTAATATTGTCGTTTGAAATAGGGTCATTCTACCATAGTAATTTTAAAATTAGAGCTAAACAATTGCATTTATCATGCATCAACGAAGGACTTCGGTAAAGAAAATGGCGAAATGCCGGAGCTGTAGCTTGTCAAAATAAGACAACTTCTTGGATGTCCCAAAATGACTTGACCGCCTTCTAAAAGCCTTGTAATCATCTGTAATTTTTTTTGTTACCCCCTCTTAATTTGTTAGGTTATTTAAACAAAATGCTCCGTAAGTTCCATCAAAATCACGTCATATCGAAGGTTGTGGTAATTTATCCTAAAATGTCCCGAGAATGCCGGAGAACTTTGAATGTTTTTTTCGGAAAAAATCAAAGCGTTTACATATTTTTTAGTATTTAATAAAAAAATGAAAAAAATATCAAAATGTTCGCTGGAAATAAATACTCTAAAAATGAAAATCTATATTTTCTGTAAATGATTTTCTGCTTAATGTCTTTGCTGTCATCTTTTTCATGGCACGTGGAATATTTCTGACTTCTTTGTCTATTATAATTTTTGCTCGCCCTGTAGACGCTAATCATATTATTACACACACACACACACAGACGTATTTTAAAATCGTTATGCCCGTTCCACAATCTACCGACGAAGATCTCTTCACATGATTTTGACTAATAGTTTCCGTTTTTTCACGGTCGACCGCCCCCTAGTTTATAGTTTTTTTTTTTCATTATTATACGTGTAAGCACGTACCCAACGTATTTATATGAAAACGTAGATATCTCGTTAATTAATAATAACAAAGGCGCCCCCCGAATTAAATTTCGTCTAATTGTTTTGCGGGGCCTCATGAATAAGCGATTTTTTCTTTTCGGGAAATTTATTGTGCGCCTCTCGTTTCTCACGGACGATCGTCCTTTTTTTATTATTCGCACGCTTTAATTTATAACGTAAAATCGGGCGTCCGTCCATCGCCGTTTTGCAGACCTAAAAACAGTTATATGTGAACTGGCTTCGGGGCCTTAACAATCATATTTTTAAGATATACACAGTACAAAAATAAATATATTACGTTATTAAATTATTATTAAATAGTTATTACGTTTATTTATTCAAACCCTTTATTTAACTATTGGTGTATATTGGCTGATTGTTTTGCAAAATCATCACTCAATCAGGCAAAAATGTGGCGCACATTTTTTAATTTTTATTTGTAACTCTTATTCGAAAATTAAGAAATAATCGATCTTTCTTTTTTTATTGTTATTTATTTTTTAAATTTTAAAAAGTTAGTTATAGGATTCGATCAAAAGAATATCCGAGACAATAATACAATATTCTACTCTCATTTTAGAAACAGACTTCAAGAGCGGCCTGTATAAACGCTCAGAAAATAAATAAATAAATGAATAAATGTTAGAATTAAAAAAAATAAGAATAATTTTTTTTAAATGTTTTCATTTTACATGGGGTAGCACGACAACGGGTATTTATCACTGTTTTGATTTTTTTTTAATGGGTTGATTGCAAATAGAAATAAACAAAAACTAAAATTTCTTACTAATAACGAAATTGAGTGTATCTTAGAAAGTATGGTATTAAATGAGTTCTTGAAATTTGAAATGTAAATGTATCAATTTATGTTTGCGTATTGGCAATAGATGAACTTGATAAGTTCGCCCATTTATCAAGATCCCTTGTATGAAATTATTATCCAGGGAGTAATGTCAATTGACAATTATTGACAACAAAGTTATCAACAACAAAATCACTGTGTTATATAAACACTTACATTGTGGAAACTCATTAAAACTTCTTTTCAATCGGTTTCGTATCTCTACGTTCTATATACCCGCGTTTCTTCCACAGGGGTGGCGGCGGAACACCACCAGCACATCCAACCCCCCACCACCTTACCCGTGAGTCCCCCCTCCGCGCTGCCGCACCCCTTCCAAAACGTAGACGCGTTCGGCAGTCTATTGGGTGAAGAGATCGTCTCCACGTGGCGGAAAAACATAGAGTCGCACCAAAAATCACCTTTGAATTGTGCAGATGGTATGACGAAGAGCACGACGCCGCTGACCGCCGTCGAGACGTCGAACGCGGACAAAAGCAGCGCCGCGTCGACTCCCCAACCGATGGACGCCCAGTACAGCCCCAACGAGAACCTGATGGTCAACGGTAACCCCAAAAGTCCGCAGGAAGACAACAACAACCACCACGTCAGCAACAACAACATCCCGTTGGCGGCGACCATGTGCGCCGTGAACAACTTCCTACGCACCGACGATACCCTGAAGAGTCCTTATAGGTTCGACGAGCATCGATCTCCTTTCAAGTTCGCCGAGGACTTGGGTATGGCCCCCGGGTCGATGGTAGGTAGACTCGGCGAAAGTCTGATACCTAAAGGCGACCCGATGGAAGCTAGACTCCAGGAGATGCTGAGATACAACATGGACAAATACGCGTCGCAGAATTTAGGTAGTAGAAGCGGTGTCGTGTCGCTTGTTGCTCAGAACTGAAGGTTGCTTCTGACACAGATACCCTCCACATATCGAGGCGAGTGAGAGAACTGCTGTCCATCCACAATATAGGCCAAAGGCTGTTCGCCAAGTACATCTTGGGACTGTCCCAGGGCACCGTCTCCGAGTTGCTGTCTAAGCCCAAGCCATGGGACAAGCTCACCGAAAAGGGGAGGGATAGTTATAGGAAGATGCACGCGTGGGCCTGCGACGAGAACGCCATCATGCTGCTGAAATCGCTCATACCAAAGAAAGGTAATTGGCTCTGTTGTTGCGCTCAGTCCTCCGTACGCCAGCGTAGTTTTTTTTTAAACGTCTATTACGGTGTTAAAAGAACCACTGTTTAGGCGATAAATTCGTTCTAAGCTAATCGTAGTTTAAACAACCTCCTAACGGAAGCGGTTTGAATATCATCGGCAGCGTGCAAACAATTACGAATAAATTATTAACAAATATCGCGTTTTTTTTTTTCGGTGGCTTTTCGGGCGAATCGAAACGGGCCGGATGCGCGTGGTGATTCACCCGATTTTTAATAATTTTCGAGCGTTGTTGAACAAACGATTTGCGCAGCGGTTACGTGATTGATGACGCGTCATTATCGCGATTGTATCGTACATCCTTTAATTCACAGATCGAAATTAACGAATATCCGTATCGATTTTTTTCAAGGTTCCTTTTCACTTTTCGATTTCTTATTTACTCGTTCGCATCCGATTTTAAGAAATAATAAAACTTTTCTTAATTTATTTCTACGCCTAAGTTTGGAGTACATTTACTATAAACCTCTTAAAAAATTCCTGAAATTCACACCTACCATATTTGAAAAAATCTGGAACGGTAAAATGGGAATTTTTATTTTAAAAAAAGGACAAATTATGTTTTCTATGTTATAGGGGGTGTTCTAAAAGTAATGCACCAAATTTTTATGGCATATTCTATACCGAAAAGCTATTTTTTTATGTTAGATATTTTATTGAAATTTGGACCAAATTTCAATCTCTTGACTTCTTCCCGATCGATTTCAAGTAAAAAAAAAATGAAAATGATAATAAAAATGTTAAACATTAAAAAAATAAATGTGTCAAATCTGGTACGGGCATCACTGGTACATTTTTTAAGAAATATTTTTCTCATCACAAAATGTGTGTTACTGCTTGAAAACCGCAACTAAGTACGTATAATGGTTTAAAAATTATGACAAAAAAATATTTTATCAAAATTTCAACACCCTGTATCTCGGTTTCTGTATATATGCTTATATAGAAAAGTAGGGTTTTGTTTTCAACTTAAAATATGCCATACAATTTTGGTGCTTTAATCTTAGAATAACCTGTATAATAAAATAATGATTCAAACATAGATTAATTTTTATATATTTTATCTGCTTTTGTTTTAATTATAACCTTAATTTATAATAGAGTTACATATAGAAAAATGAGTAGCGATATTCCGAGTCATTTTATTTTATTTAAATTTTTAAAATCCAACAGTAAAATCGCAATTCGTTTTCCAGATAAAACATATGCTTGGTATTTCTTTTATGGGATGTGCCATTTTTTTTATTTCATTCATTTTTACTATTTATAAAAAAAATCAGTTAAAATGATCTGTGATTTTCGTTGCATTGCCACTTGCATTTTTATTGGCGGATTCATCTTAAAAATTCAAGAAGTTCGATATTTTCAGAAATAAAAAAAATATGAACAACGCAAATATTCCATAAATGATACGTGTTGGAGGAAACCTTTCAAATAAAATTAATAAATAACCGATAGGTTAATAAAAAATATATATTTGATCGGAAATCAGTGGCGGCGTTTTTCCTGCCGTTTCGAAGCCGAATTTACGCAAAAATAACTCGGTTTCTAGATTAGCGATTAATCTTTGTCGATCTCACGCGGATTCGCTCTGAAAAGCAACCCGACACACACACACACACACAAAAGTAGGAACACAATAAGCAATTAAGCATCGAGAATTAACAGAATAATCGAAATATTAAGAGACTTAATAATATTAAATTTGTTATTAAACAACCGGTGAACGCCCGTACATGGCCTATAGTGTGTGTGTGTGTGTTCTACTTTTACCCAATAATAACCATTTTTTTATTGGGTTGTTGGTGTGGTTTAATTGTCCGCTGACACGGAAAGAAGTCGATAAAACGTTTGTCAATTATACACGTAAGATGCCCGGTTCGAATTCGGCCGCGCCGCGCGCCACTGGTTTTTCACTCGAATAAACGAAATATAAAAAAAAACAATTAGGTCGATTTTTTTTTCGCTTTTTCCACGCCGCTAATTGTGAGAACGTCTCAAACAAACGACAAACGATCGCGTTGCAAATTGTTCGGATCCCTCAGTTCATTCGTCATTATTGTCGCAATAACAGTGTTATTTTATTTTTCGAGTTTGGTATGCTCGAACGCGAACGAATCGCCCTGCCGTAAGTGATATAATTTTGTTTTTCGACGCGCCGCCCTTCTCAATTCCAAAACGGTGAAAGTTCCCGAAAAAGAATCGAAACGTCGCTCATCATCAGACAATGTTAATTAATTTAGTTCCATTATTATTCATGCCGATCTACAACCTTCGGCCAACTAACATTCGTCGGAAATTATGAATTAACAATTCCAGAAGAAGAAGAATTCTGCCTGTCGGCGAGACTCCATTTCACCAAGGGGTCCACAAGTTTTTCTATGGAATAATTAATCAATCGTTCCTCCCAATTTCTCTATAAGAGTGCTTTTTCGTTTCATTGGGTTCGCCGTTAATCGAATTGTTCCTTCCACTTCGTTGATATTCAATTCTTCATTCTAAATCTACTGTATTAGCTTATCTGTCAAACAATGTCTTATATATCTATCTAAACGAGTGTCATGTCCAAAAGTTCTCAAACAATTTATTAGGGATCAGTACCAATAAAGACATTACATAATATATTCATAATCAATTCTTCATTTTCATCTGTAGTTTTCTTGTAAGTCACGCTAATATTCCATTAACCTAGTGGACTGGCTCCAATAGTTTCTTAATATACCTAATTCCACAGTTTTTCACTATATACGATTGTGATGCTAGGCATAGTTACACCAAGTAATCCTAAAGCTCTAAAAGAATTTCCTAAGGCCACCACCAACACCTGCACAGTTCCTGCACAAGAGTGTTCTAGAGAATTCTTTAATATTCCTAAGGCTTCCCGCGAAGACACGATGCGTTCGTCGATCCGCGCTTCCCGGTCAGAAAATTATCTGATTTTGCACCCTAATCGTTCCCCCACCGCACCGCGAAAAAATCATCCCAGAGTCGAAAATAATCGTCGGCGGACGAAACGAACAGAATTGAAAACCTGCCAAGTTATTTGCTTCGTTAAAATGCTTGTGACGATTGTTTTCCTTGGTCGCATGTATCATTTTCAATTTGCCTCATTAATTTCGGACCCATAAATTCGTCCAAATGACACTTCTACTTCGAATAAATCCTATCCGATCCGTCTACCAGCTCCTGGACGTTCTTTCGAGGTGACTCAAGGACTCAAACTGGCTTTCTATACTCAAAGAACCATCCCTGAAAGTTTCGCCGTACTTGAACGAAACCAGATATTAATCATAGTGTTGGTCGGTTATGATTAGAACAGTTCCACTGGGCGCCGGTTTCGTTCTGCCCGTTATGCAGAAGCCAACCGATTTCACCCGAACTTAACTGTACGCTGTGGGAGAAAACATCGCGTATCGTTTATCCGCCCGGGGCGGACCCAGAGGTAATCACATGGGTTCGGATCCGTTGACAATCTTCCGAGCAGGTTCCCATGAAAAAATAATTGGTCCTTTGAACGCATATTAAAACATCATCAGAAGAAAGCGGCGGCTCATCCGCGGAGGACCTCTTAAAGTAGCGGGTTTCTAATCATATGTGGTCGAACGGAAGATGCGTTTTACCCGGAAGACAAGACCCGGCGCAAATTATAGACGTTTACGCTGTGGTCCGAGATTAAGTTCGATCGGTACCGGTTACCCATTTGAGGTTAGGAAATGATTTTGACAGGATGTCGCTTGCTTTTCAAATATTTCAATAGTTTTGAGCGGCACTTAATGGCTTATCCCTCCTTAAATTATATTTTGGCGTTTCTTAATATGTCAAGAACACCTTTTGCGTGCATTTCAAGAGATTCGATATAAACTGCAATGGCCAGAGCGTGCGAGAAAAGTGAAGCAAATTTTACAACAGAAGAAGGCAACTAGTAATGGGGATCGATATTTGTATAATTTTTTTTATAATAATATAAAAATAATAAATAATTATAAAAATTTTTGTATTTCTAAATAATATTTAGATATTTTTTCATGTAATTGCTCGGTGAGCCAGTTATAAACCAAAATCAGATCATCTAATACGGAAATGCTTTAGTTACTCAAAAAAATAAACTTCCTTTTGCTGCAAAGTGAGGTTAAAAAACCAGCTGATCGTTCTTACTTTCATATTATTTGGGTTCTTGAAATCAAAGAAATTTGACCAGACGAGAGACCTAGAATGTTTCTAGGAATCAGAGTCGAAGACTTAGGATGTTGCTTTCGTAGTATAGTTTAATTTGTTCGACGTTGCCGCTTCTAGGGATCACGCAGTGTTGCCGAATGTTCAACTTTTCGTGAAATTGTACCATCAATTCGTATATTACTTTCCGAACACGGAGGTTAGAAATATCACTGCAATCGGCGATTTGCTCGTTAGGGGGCGCGGCCCGCCGCTCAGTGTCGTTCGTCCGATAATCGGGGCGTTTCGTGATGAGATATAAATGACGGACGGGTTTTTATTTCACGTTATAAAATTGATTATAGGTAATACGCGACGGCGATGATTTTTAAGGCCAATTATTTGCTCGTTACGGGTCCAATTTTCGATGTTTACGAGCATTTAATTGCGCCGACGTTAGGAATTACGATTAATAAACGTGCGTTGTGTGTTTATGTTCGTACGGAAATTTTTTCAATCCCTGCCGCTCGTTAGTGTATACTGCACGCCGTTTTAGGAGTTTTTTCAGAAAACGACAGATTGTTCGATCGATATTTTTGTTTTGCTGGTCGTATTGTACTTATATAGTCAATTCTGTGTGCAAATTAGAGCATTAAAACTAATTGTAATTAAATATGTAGGAGATGTTGAGAAATACGTTTTTTTAATGCTACTTTAAGGACGGTTCAAACGAATAGCTTCATTTATCATACCCCCAAAAGTGTCTTCGCAGATTTCTTCGTTAAGGTCGCTTCCAACGCCGAACGATCACGAATTTCAGTTCTTACGTTCACTTTATAAAAACCGATCGTTATAAATTCAGTAATTTGTTAGGTTAACGGACGGAGTGTATAGTTCTGCTATTTTTTTCTTTTTGCTTTAACGAAATCGGGTACACCCCCGCCGCCGTCCGACATCGTTCTTTGTCACACGTCGTCTTAATTTATTGGCGAACGAGTATCGTTTTTAGCGAACAAACCGATTTGGACGAAATCCAAAACGGGTGATTCACTGCTTACAGGACCGCCTATGATTCGACGCGGATTTGTATCTTCGATAATTTTGGAAATAAGTCCCGTTCATGCGCGAAAGAAAGCTTCAGTAAATCCTAACCCGGACCTTATGGTTTTCGATACCAAAAAAAAAAAACGTAAAAAACGAAATCAGAACTACATTATCTGCGCATCCCTATAAATTCTGCAATGACAAAACTGATTTTCAGAGTCAGAATCCAAGATTTATTGTGACAGGTCCCACAATTATGACAAAAGTATCTTTCTTGTTGGGATTTTGAAGGTGAGAAAATGTAATGGATCTCAGGACTGAACGCTACTCGACACATCCTGATAAATCCTGAACTACATCCGAACTACATCCTCGGCATATTCGGCAAATCTGTAGTACCGGATTTATACCTTCGATACGGCGAACAGATACAAATACCCCCCGCCCCTGTCCAGCCGAGGTGTGAAATTTGTGCATCGTAATTTTTTAAAAGTAAATTGCTTGATTATTCCACCAGCATTTTTTAGTAAATTCTTAACCCGGACCTGGAGGAAATATAAAGTCTGTTCATAGATATAAGAAAGTGGCTAACTGATGCGAAATAAGGGAAGACCCGTAAGAATGAAATATGGCCTTTGCTTAGAATTTAATTATTTGGGGTTTTGCTAGGAAAGATGCTAAACCATATTTATTTATTTAAGTATGTTTAAATCTAAAATAAAATTACAAATTATTTTTATAACCTATTTAAGTTACATAAAATTATTCACATAATATATCAGTATCACTATCGCTATCATCGCCCGTTCTAATTATTATTTGTTCTATATTATTTACAATATGGATATACGATTGTTCCGCTTTTGTTGAATCGACCCAACCCTTTTCCGGGATATTGTTGTTCTCTGTAAATCCAATTTTTTTCCAGATATTCCAGTCGCCATTTCCGAATTCTAAAAGATTCCATGAAAACTTGCCTTTTGTCATTTTTTTTAAATCTAAAACTCATGTGTTTCACTTCCATAAGGTATTTCTGCACATTTAACACCGGTTTCATCTTTATATATAACCGGTAAATTTTGATCACTCGAAAAAATGTCAGCATCGCTTCTTTTTTTTTCCTCGCTGAAATGGAATTATTCACAATTTTCCATACAGTTGATGCTGGAAGTAGTATACCAAACCAAAGAATATTAAACACAGGTAGGCATAAAATTATTTTCTATTACGGACCACAATTTTACCTGAATTTAAATTCCGAAACTTTAGGTAATAATCTTGTTTTATGTTAATGATCACCATTCAATTGGTCACTTTCTTATATCTATGAACGGACCATACCTATAATTTCTCAATTTGACTGATTTTAGCAGAAGCTTAAAGTTTGTAAATTCGAACCGCATCTCCGATAAATCCCAAAAGTTGCGACCACGCCCTCGGTACATTTCCGATAAATTCGGTAAATCCATACTGCATCCTTAGTACCTTTCCAGTAAAGTCAGTACATCTTCGGGTAAACCCTATAAATGCGCCCCACATTTCAGGTAAATCTCGTAAATATCACACCTCCCGAGAATATTTAAAATACATGCGGAGAAAAATTTTCATAAATCTTTGTCCATGTGTGCGTTTGGCGCCTCTCCCCCCAACCCCTCCCATTACCGATATTGACATTTTTCGAATAGCGCATATTTGCGGAAAAGCGGCCGCGTAGCAAAAACAATGTCCGCCACGCGGGTTTGCAAATGACGTCCCGCGGTATTATCATTTAAAACGATCGACAACTCGATGTTCCGTTTTTTTCGAATGACCGGAAAACAAAGAAATCGCCCGCGCGGGACGTATCGGGAAATAATAACGATAAAAAATATACGTATCGGACGCGATTTCCCTGTATAGCGTCGCGTGTCGACGTTGCATGCGTAAAAAGGCCGCATTGGCCGTTAAAAAGTTTTCTTGCGATCCAGAGGCCGATAAAATCGAAGGCGGCGCGGAAATTCCACCGTCGCGGCGTTTCGATTTTTTCACCGATGAAGCTAGACCGAAATCGTCGATGTGTCAAAAAATAGCTATTTTTAGTTAATTGTACCATAAAACTCGCACAATAACGATTTTGCCGAGTTTTTTAACGATTTTACGGTAATCCTTTTGATTTTAAAAAAGTAGTCGCTCAAACTTCCTTCAGTTTTCATTGGGACAGTTCAGGCGACATTGTCAAAATAACTGACGCGTGTTTTTTCAAAGTTGAGAAAGATGCCCCTGACAGATTTTTCTATAAAACATCATTTAGTGAAACTGACTGACTGCAGAAGCATCAGCATTACGCAAAGAAAAATGCGAATGTGAATCTAGAATGTGCTTATCGAGATGTTATACCAATTCCAAAGCAAAAGTTTAATGGTTTCCTAAGAGTAATGCTATTAAAAAAAATGCCACGGTCACTTTTATTACGGCCTAAAAGGTGACAAGGACTGAATTGTCACGGTTTTTTAGTTACTTTGAAAATAGTGCTTTTTGTTTATTAGTATTAATAATACCTACTTTTTTAATTTAATTTCCAGTTTGGTTTTTTTTCAGTTACCGCTATATACCTATCTCGCAAATGAACCTGCCGTGTTGTATTTTTCATAAAAACTTTGATCTACCGTTTTATCGAGAATTTACGAAAATATTGCACCGAAATTGATGTATGCAAAAAAAATTAATATCTACACAAAATTTTGAAAACATTTAGAAATGAACCTCAAAAAATATGATTCGTTCTAAAAAGAAAACAATACAGTAAGCGATATGATATATCCCAACGTTTCTCGCCGCCCATGTACGACCTAGAAGATTACCACAGACAATTATCCTTACAGATAATTTTTCCTCCCCAGGGAAGGACGGTTCCGTGCCGTTCGGTCGCCCGGAGAACGACATGACGGAGGAACGGTTAGCCCACATCCTAAACGAGGCCAACCAGTTCCAGCAGATCAAAACCGAAGACTCGCATTCGAACGAGGACTCGAAATCGCCACACGGATGCCCGAGTCCGTTCTCCAAAGACTCGTCGCTGAACAAGAGACTGAAAAAGTACGAGAACGACGACATCTCGCAGGAAAAAGTCGTGCGCATATATCAGGAGGAACTGGCCAAGTTGATGAGTAGACGTATGGACGACATGCGGAGCCCGAGGGACGGGTTCCCGGGGGGGTGAGTACTCGCCGCTTCTTAATCAGGGCAGAGCTAAACTAATATACAGTATGTTTCTCCCGCCTTTCTTCAGCAACGTGCCGATAGATCGATCCGATGAAATACGCATGGCTTTGGACGCCTACCATCGCGAACTGGCCAAACTCAACCAAAGCCAGTCGCCCGCGAGCCAAATGCCGTTAGGGTTATTGGCCCTTCAGCAGCAAGCGTTAGCTCAACACCAACACCAGCAGAGTCAACCGGTGCCGTCCAACGGGGGCGTCCAGGACTTGTCCCTACCCAAAGACAAGATGAAAATGATCAACGGACTACCGGAGGATAAAGAAAAGGACGATGACGCGGTCTCGCGACATTCCGGCAGCGCTTTCAGCCTCGTCCGGCCTAAGATCGAGCCTGGCACTCAACCGAACGCGAACTCTTCCGCTTCCAGCCCGTTGGGCAACGCGATCCTTCCCCCTATGACCCCGACGGGGGACGATTTCACCGGTTCGGCTGCCGCGAGTCCTTTGCAGCGGATGGCGAGCATTACCAACTCGTTAATATCGCAACCGCCCACTCAACCCCACCACTCGACGCCCCAGAGACCTCTAAAGGCGGTTCTGCCTCCTATAACGCAGCAACAGTTCGACCTCTACAACAACCTAAACACCGAAGATATCGTGAAGAAAGTCAAAGAGCAACTGAGCCAGTACTCGATATCGCAACGGCTCTTCGGCGAGAGCGTCCTCGGACTGAGTCAGGGCTCGGTCAGCGACTTGCTCGCCAGGCCCAAACCGTGGCACATGTTAACTCAGAAAGGTCGCGAGCCTTTCATCAGGATGAAGATGTTCCTGGAGGACGATAACGCGGTACACAAACTGGTCGCGTCTCAGTACAAGATCGCTCCTGAGAAGCTGATGAGGACCGGCGGTTACGGTAACGGTAAGAGGTCCGGTTAGTCGCCGGTCGCGGCGCTTCACTCTCCTTGTCTTTAATAGCTTGCGCGACGCCTATCGGAAAACCGATGCCGCCGACCAATAAGATGCTCAGCGAGGCTGCCGGTCTGCTCAACAAGATGCAGCAGGAGTCGCAGAACATGCTGCCGGCGTCGCTGCAACTAGGTCCTCCTCAGGGCGCACCTCAGCCGCCTCCACCCCCGATGCTTCTGACGCCGCCCGGCTTGCCACCCCACCACGCGATCGGTCTTCAGAACCAGGACCTATTGAAAAAGTCCGCTTCCCACGGGATCCCTCCGATGGGTGGTCACCAGACCGCGATGAGAGCCATGCACCAACACGTCAGCCCCAGCGTTTACGAGATGGCGGCGCTCACCCAAGACCTCGATACCCAAGTAATCACGACGAAAATTAAGGAAGCGTTATTGGCGAACAATATCGGCCAGAAGGTAATTATTCCGATGGGAAAAGTCGTGTTCCGCGATCTGACGGTTCCGTTTCAGATATTCGGCGAAGCGGTACTCGGTCTGTCTCAGGGTTCCGTTTCGGAGCTCCTGTCAAAACCCAAACCGTGGCACATGCTTTCTATCAAAGGCAGAGAACCGTTCATTCGAATGCAGTTGTGGCTCCAGGACACCCATAACGTCGACCGGCTGCAAGCGTTGAAAAACGAACGACGAGAAGCGAACAAGAGAAGACGCAGTTCGGGTCCGGGACACGACAACTCGTCGGACACGTCGAGCAACGACACCTCCGAGTTCTACCACTCGAACAGTCCCGGACCGCAAGGACCGGCGAGCGCGAAGAAGCAACGCGTGCTCTTCAGCGAAGAGCAAAAAGAAGCACTCAGACTCGCGTTCGCTTTGGATCCGTATCCGAACGTCGCGACGATCGAGTTCCTTGCGCAGGAGTTGAGTCTGAGCAGCAGGACGATCACCAATTGGTTCCACAACCATCGGATGAGACTTAAACAACAAGTACCGCACGGTATGGGTTCAGATCTGCCTCCCAGAGATCAGAACTCCGCTCAGCAACCCTTTGATCCGAGCCAGTTTCGTTTGTTACTCAATCAGAGGCTAGTCGAGCTTAGCAAAGAACGTATGGGTTTGAGCGGGGTGCCGTTACCTTATCCTCCGTACCTGGCGGCCAACACTAGCCTGGCGGCGTTGATTTCAAGGGGTTTACTGCCTACCGGCGATCTATCCGACCTCTCGGCCCTCAACAACGCGGTCAAAGAGCAGATGAGCGGCCTCGACTTGTCGATGCCGTCGTTGAAACGGGAACCCGGCGATTTCGACGACGACGACGATGTCGAGAGCAACGTCGGGTCGGAGGACTCGAACATGTCGGGCAGTTTGCACGGCGGCGGTGAAGCGAAAAACGAGACCAAAGAATCTTCCGTGGCTTCTAGTCAGCAGAGCCAGGGGAGGTCATCGCGAAGGAAACCCGCGGCACCTATGTGGGTGAACCCCAATTGGGAAGAAGAGAAGCAACAGGGGAAGAGGGACCTGACGAATCCCGACGAAGTGATCATTAACGGAGTGTGCGTGATGCAGACCGAGGATAATTACGGGAACAGGAGAGGGGCCGAAGAGACGGTGCGCGTCGAACCTCAAGCGGTTATGGACAGGTTCGATGACGATCGTAGTGAGACGTCATCGATAAGCAACGAGGAGCACCACAAAGACGAAGACTTGGAGGAGCAGCATGAAGAAGAGGACGCGAGCAAGAACGACGACGGCGACGACAAGGTCGTGAAGCGGGAGAGCGAGGAGGAGAGGTGGGATTACTAGATTGTTTTTCTTTTTTGTCTGTTGACTTTTCGACTGTTGGTTTATATATATATAGAGTGTTGAGGACTCCGGTGCAATTCGGGAGCGGACCGGTTTTTAAAAAAAAAAAAACCCGTTGTAAGATATTTTTAATTGTAATTAGTTCTTAAAAGGAGAGGAAAATGAAAACGATTCAAGTGCAATCATCATCCACGGATACGCGAGTATTTTTTTTCGTTAGGTATTATTATAAAGGAAAGGATATTTATTAAATGCGACATTGTGATTTTTCTGTAAGTACTACTGCGCGTGCGTCTTGCCAAATTTTTTATTGAGCGCGTCCGTTTATTAACCCCCTCCCCCCCCCCCACCCGGTTGAGTTTTTTGATAATTTAAGCGAATTTCTGTAGTTAATACGAAGACTGTTACCGCGTTATAATAATTAAACGAGAAGCGAAGAAAAAATGTTTCGAACATTTTGTGATATAAGTACACCGAACGTACGGTTCGCGTTGCGACGGCCAAAATCGCAATCCTACGGTACAAAATAGGACCCACACCCCTCCTCCATTTTTTTTTACCGCAGACACGCGTTTATTTATGTTAAATTTACGTTACGTTTTAGGCATATGTGATTTTCCTTTTCGTCCGGTTATCTACTTGCCAACTGTCTCACGAACCTCATATCCTCACAGAAATTTTCGGATGGAATCTCGGCGCGAGCCGTTTTGAACATCAAAACTTGTTTCGAACATGCCTCAGTGCGACTGGGTGAGGCTTATCTTGGTTTCCCGAAAAATAAACAAACTGGATCTCCACGCACAGATTTCATCCTACCGGTGTCAAAAATCCGCATAAAGAATAGTTCTAGTCCGATATCATAGAGGGCATGAAACACACTTACTTGACTACTACCATGGCCAGTTCCGAGGACGCGGCAACATCGGATAGTGAGCCAATGTAGCCGCATCTTCGACCCGATCTCAATCAGCTGTTCGGTTTGAATTCATCGTCGTTCGCCTAGCTTTAATTTTTCTCCCAAATAACTTAGTAATGTAAACGTTAACATATCGTTATCGATAAGTGATCCGTGCGAGGAAAACGATCAAAAAACAATTGAAACATCAAAATTCGCGTCTGTAGGACAATTTTAAAGAGTGAGTGTGAGCGAGCGAGAGTGTGAAACGAAAAGTGCAATATTAATTTCGGATAAAACGCGAGTGAGTGAGCGAAAAAAAAACGTGTTTCTTCCAAAAATGTACTCAATGTAACGAAAGGCATTGTAAAAAAAATAAATACGTAATTTCTGTCTTTGACCGAGGCAATTATCCTTAGCAAACAAAAAAATAATGTATATTAATGCACATTTTTAAATAAAAAAAAATACATGCATGTAGAATATATAGCGAAATAGATTTTTGTTTCGTATAGAAATTGTTTAACGTTATGCGGCTTGCGTGTTGCGTCGGACGCGCGGCGACGACGTTGTTTGTTTTGTTTTGCGGAAGCGAAGGCGACGCGCGTTCGATGCCGGACGCGTATCCCACCCCCTCCGAGCGACTTGGTGACGTCTTGCCCGTCGAAGTGTCAGTAAAAAAGAGCATTTTTTTAGGTCTGTAAGATCTTGTTTTTTATTATTATTATTATTTTTACTTGTACATAATTATACCATATCAAACATTAAAAATTCCTAAATTAAAATTTTTCTCTGTATTTAAGACGACGTGTTTTATTTAATCCGCATTAACCACGAGACACGAGACGATGATGTAACGACACAGACGACTGTTGTGGTTTTGTAATCTAAGCATCCGAATATAACCGTTTAGTTCGATGAAATCCAAAGATCGTCCATAACATTTCTTGTCATCGTTCTAGAGTCAAATTCATTCGAAATTTAAGTGAAATTAATGCTATCTTCTGTTGTAAAATATGTACCTCCCTCACGTGGATTCTATTTATATTATATATATTTATTTTTAATTCGAATTTTCTCATCCCTAATTAATGGCAACTTGAGAGTCGATTACGCTTCAATAGAAATCTCCTATTATCATGTTCTCTCTCGATCTATGGTCCTCAACAGAAGTCGGTAATGGGAGAATGATCGGTGCAAAACAGGAATTGAAGCTAATAGATGAACGAAATTATGTACGTTTGGGATTTTGTAATCGTACCAGAAAACTTGATATCGGTTACAATATGTGGATTTAAGTGTTTAGTGTGTAAGTTTCAAAGTGTGTAATCGTCGTCGACCCCGCTGTTTTTGTCTGCCACGTCGGTTGAAGGCCGAATGGTCCCCGGATGGAAACGGAGATCGCTGTTTTTTCGTTATCGGTCGAAGTTTTTGGCTGCCTGAGAACAATTGTTGATAACAGTTTCTTTGACGTGTTGGTCCGTAAAAGAAGAAAAATCCTTCGACGGACGTCGGTAATGGACGAATGGCCATGGTAATATTGCCTAATTGTTTGTGAAAAGATGAAGATTATCTGTGAATAGGGTTACGTTCCAAAGTATTTTTGCCGAATTATAACGCCAGTTATTATTTTTCGAAGCAGTATTACCGCAATATCTTCGGAAAAACTTACGTTTTCGACGATACACTTTTGATGCGACAGTAAAGTATGCACAGAATTTGGGGAGAAGGGTAAATTAAAATGTCATAAAACAATCCAATCATTTTAATTGCAATCGTTGGTATAGAGGCACGTATTTCTCCTCGCAAAAGCTATCGTCGCTGCTACAATTGCCATTGAGTTTAACCTCACTTTCTCCACCTTCAAATTGTCTTTCGTCCACCTCATATTCTTCGGTTTCATCGCCGCTAGACGTGTCCAAATTAACATGGAAAGTTCTCTCGAACAGATCGTTCTCTTCTGCCGGATTCGACATGAAGAAACTGGACGAATTGATAGCGCAAACGTCTCCGTCGAGTACAGCGCGGCAATCCGACGGATCCCCCAACTCGCTGGCATATTTCTCGATAACCCGATCGACGCAATCGAATTTCCGCTTCGAAACTATGTTTCCGACGATGTCTGACACCTCGAGATCATCTTCGTCGCCAAAACCGGACATATCGGGATCGAACGTCGGCTGCACTCCTTCGAAAACTTTGACAGGCGTCGAAAGTGCTTTATCGACATCGAATTGCACCTGGACTTCTCCGGAACCCTTGACGGGGGTGGAAAATGCGTTGTTGGTAGCTCGCTTAAGAAAGCTTTCCAACGTTTTCAATTTTGGCTCCCGGACGGACATTTTACTGAAACTCAATTCGAGTTCTCCGACGGGCCCCTTCTTAACCCTTGGCTTTCTCGTTTTTTTCACCATAACGTCGTCGCCATTTTTATTTTTACGTTTGCCCGTCTTTCTCGGCTTAACTTTTGACTGCTCATACTGCTGAACGAGTTCTGGATACGCCTGCTCCATTAAACCCTTAGGCTCCACCGTGGACCACAGTTTCTCCGTATTGACGGCGTCCAGTTGCTTCTGGGGGATTAAGCCTTCGAAGTGACCCTCCGGATCCGACCACAGGACCTCGTAACTGGGAACGCCCTTGGGATTTCGCGCCTTTTTTATTTTAGAAGGCAACACTGTCCCTTTTATGTTGCGCAGGTCGGGATTGCGACACTGCCATCTGGTGAGGACGGGTAGGATTTTATCAAAAGCGTACACCCCCTCCCACTGCAGAAATTTGATTGCGAACGTCTACAAACTCCGCCCGTGGTAGATTCGTCGCGTAACCCCCAGTGGCTACTTACGATAAAGTTGGCGACGTCGGGACGTGTCCACTTTAAGTTTAAAGCGGACACGTTGTCCTTGCGCGCGAGGTACTCCTCTATGAGCGCTTCGTCCGGAAAATTGGGGACCTGCATGGCTTTGGTGCGAATGGCAACCTCGTTTTTCATTTTCGACCGTTCCTCTTTGTATTTGAAAGGGTCGCAGCCCCTAGTAGTCCCGCACGATTTGCATCCTGTAGTCCAAAAAAACCCTCAACATCTAAGATTCTAATGCGTGTTTTGGGGGTTTATGAGTTCAACTGTCTAAATTAATTTGTACTACCTATTACCATTTTTGCTGTGACCCTGCACTTTACCCCCGTGGCCGCAGGAGGTACAAATGTTCTTATCGTTCAATCTTCTCTCATATTTTGCATAAGTAAGTTCGTCGTCCCTCCAAGATCTCAATCTGTCCAGCACCTCATCATCCGACACTGTCTCGAAAAACTTCATAACAGAATCTTTACCGACGCCACGGACCCCGTCTGAATAGTCCGAACCTACTAGCAATGCCATAGCCACGATCTTGTTCCTTCCCAGCTCTAAAACCACTCTAAGCTGAAGCCTCCGATACCTTTACCCCTAACGAACTTACTGAGACCCTCGAAAGCTTTCCCAATATCATAAATATCCACTGCACCGCCACTGGCCGCGTTACCACCTTGGGCTGATATAGAAAAGTTCCTGTAAACGACTCGCGCCCCGTACGCAAAACAATCAGAATCTTGGCTAATGCACCCGTCAACGAGCTGTAACACCGTCCTTAAAACACTCTAATAGTGGTTAATATCCCACAACAATACCCCGTCTTCATTCAAGTAGGCGCATAAACTTTCAGCCTCGCCATTGCCTTTAATGCAAGCGACCCCCAGCAATTTCAACATTTGCTCGCACTGTTTGAGAACAAAATGAAACCTACTCCTGTCCTTGCCGGTTTTCACGCCATCTGTTTTTGGCTTGGCTCCCTTAAATTGTATCGCATTCCGAGCAGCTATAGTGTCGTATTTTAGTTCCGGAGCCTTGCCTTCCAGAACAAACACGGGGCTCACGTCCATTAGTAGTAGGAAACAAGTCCGAAAATACAAGTTTCTGCGAAAACGAAACGATTTTCACTCGGCAAAGACCGTCACACTCGTTAGGTTACCTTAAATACATTCTGGGTTGTACTTGGTATTCCGCGATGTTTTGCGCCTCGCAGATCCAGCAGGATAAATCCACGGCCACCGTTTTGCCCTGCAACTCGTATAAAGGTTTCCTGTCGCAGAAAGGAGTTAAAATCGTCCACAAATTTTTGATCCCCATTAGTCTGTGTTTAAATATTGACGACTTCCGACTACGACCGTTGGCAATTTGAAATTTGAATGGTAAACTGCTGTGTTCTGTGGCAAATAGTGGTGGAAATATTCAGATAATTATAATAATAATAATTATACTCATTCAAAAGAAAAATTGTAGGATGCGATATAATACGACGTCTTCGATCCCTAAATACAGTTCCCCGATTTTTTAAATTTAACTCGAATGTTAGTTTTGTGGCAATAGCAATATACAGATTATAATTAGGGTTGTGGAGCTTTTCAACTTTTATCTGTGCCCACTTACGAAATCACTTCCAAAACGGTGAGCCAAACCAAAAGTTATCCTTGATTCGAATCTTGCTTTTGTTGGTTAATTTTCATTATTGTTTTGCTCCTCATGGCGAAATAATCGTTTTGAATATTTTTCCGTCGCGAGCAACGAAAAACATAAAGTTTAAAGCGTAAACTCCCCACGTCGCGCTATAAAAATTTTCAAATGGCCGTGCTGGCACCGGGCATGGACGAGAAGATAAGCGCGACAAACATTAAGAAAAAAACGCTTCTGACGGCACAGGACTTGAAATTTGCGCGGAGGTTGGCGGAAAACGATCCAAAAATAAGACAACGAGCCCTCAAACACCTCAAGGATTATTTGAATGTGAGGTCCCAGAATACAGGTAGGTGGTTGCCTATACATCCCAAACACCTGGTTTACTTTTATATTTTGAAGCGTGGAGCAGCGACAACTTGCTCATACTATGGAAAGGTTTGTTTTACTCCATGTGGATGGCGGATAAGCCGCTCGTCCAGGAAGAATGCGCGGAAAACATAGCGGGCTTGATACACTCCTTCAACACGTTCACAGAGGGGATGGAATTTTTTCGAACTGGTTTAGTCACCTTACAAAACGAATGGTTTGGTATCGATCAGCACCGGCTCGACAAATATTTGATGGTTAGCTCTTGCTCCTCTCACATGGGATGTGTTCCACAAGCATTCACAACAATCAAAATATTCCTACGTCACTAGTGACGTCAATATTTTCCCTCACACTAGGCTCACAACCATCCCGCTAAAAAGCTTACTTAATGCCATTTGTAATGTTTAAATGAAAGTTTAAAAAGACTCCACGATAATAAGGGGAACAATAAAAACCGCGGTTGGGAGCCTTATCCCTGTGAGCGCTTAGTGGAAGGCATCAATGATCATCCTGTTACGTAGACTGTTTGCAGCTGGTGCGAAGGGTGCTGCGACAAGCCCTGATGGTTTTAGCCAAGGTGAGCTTTAAAAAAAAGTTCAACCTCGAATTTAGCACAGCTTTGGAGGACACCGTGTTGAGTACAACCAATAGAGTGCCAATAGGATTGTTCATGCACTTTACCGAGATTTATTTAGAAGAAGTGGCCAAAGTAGGGTGCAGAAAAAGGGGTGGTGTCTCCTCTAAGGTTGGTTGTTTCAGACGTCGTTCAAGAAACTACAGAAGAACCGATTCGTAGACCTCGTCAGGCCGTTCATTATCAAACTCGCATTCGCTTCGGATCCCCGGGAGACCAAATGGATAAGCAAGTTTATTTTAACGCAACTGATGAAACAACACAAGCTCGGCATTGAGTACAAGGAAAAATATGAAGTCTGGCGTTCCGTAAGTGACTGTTACTTCCATTTGCAGTTAACATCAACTGGCGTATGTTCCAGCTGGGTTTCCCGGGTTCTATAACCCAAATACAAAAAGTTAACGTGTCGTCGACGGAGGACGACGCTGAAGAACAAGCGCCTACAGCAGAGCCGCTGGACCCCAGGGCGGGAAGGGTCGACGTCGAGCTGTCTCCCATAAATTTTGACCCCGCGGATGTTGCGGAAACCCTGACCGAGTTCGTCGGCGACCAGAAGACGTCTGCCACGTCGAGGAACGTCCTGAGATCGTTTTCCGATAAGTAAGATTTTGTACTTCCAAATTAGCACCGCCTAAGAAACCTAACCTTTAAACCTAAGAAAAACTCGGCAACGGTCATGAGGTCAGCTTTAAAGGAAGGACCTTAAATATTTCAGCTTTAAAGAACTGTCCCTGGGGCGATACCCGTTGGGCGCGAAGAAGGCGAAGAGAATTGCGGACGACCAGAGGACCGACGACGTGGACGTTACGAAAGCGGCCAAAAAACTTATGAAATTCGAACGGAAACTGCTGGCGCGGGACAGGAAAGACAGAAAACGGGCAGCGGCACCCTCGAACGACGGCCCCGTCGCGAAAAAGAAGAGGAAAGGAGCTCGAAGTGGCCCAGACGATGGCGACGAGACCGCGGATGGCGCGGACAGGAAGAAAAGTTACCGGGAAGTTAGAAGTGAGAAGAAACTGAGGAAGATCGAGAGGCAAATCATCGAGGACATGCCGTACCTCAAGAGTTTGCCGGACGACGCTGACGTCGAGTACATATTCAAGCGGAATTCGGGGGTGTGGTTCGTGACTAGCGAGCCGGTTGGACCAGTGCCGGGTAAGTCCAATATTCGCCAGCTATTTTGGACTACTGTATTATGTATTTTATACGATATATACTTCTTCTTCTTCTTCTTTAGCGTTTTCTAAGTCCATTTTTCAACATGCGCCTCCCCAATTTCGGTCGGCGATTAATTTCAAATCATCCGTCCATCTCATCGGCTTCGAAATTCCAATCCAGGACTGACTTTTGCCACTCGTTACTTTCGCAAAAATCGATAAAATCGAATTTTTCGAAAGTATTGGTACAGAAATGATCAACGTCGAAAAAGAAAAACTTTTTTTTCCCGTTCTCCGTTTCTCTGTAGACCTGGCATTAATTGGCTTTTGGACGCTTTACAACGCGGCATTCAAAGTTGGCTCCTTTTGAGCGGTGCTCGAGCTACACAAACCAGTAAAAAATGGGTCCGCTGAAACCACCGCGTCCATCTTTATTTTTAGATTTTCGACCGATAAGTGTCCGAAATTTGAAGCGGTCCACGTAAAATTTGACAGATGTATAGAGCTTAGCTCCGTAACGAAGCCTATTGAAACTGGGGGGGCTGGGGGGTCTTTTAGAAAATTTAAAAACTGCAGGGTATCGAGAAAAAAATCATTTCTCCAAGACGGTATGTGCGATCGAAAAGATTCTTTAACCAAACGACGCGCAAGATCCGAACCGAAAAGTTTTATGCTTGATGATTTTTATTTAATGTACAGGGTGCGTCGGTAATTTACAAAAACCTGAAAATCGAGCTCCCTTTATGTTGATAATAGACCATAACTAGAAGGCTGTGATTCTGTTGTCAGTTTCTTTGACATTTCTATATAGCCCGTATGAACGGCTAAAACTTTTGAATTTAAGGTTTTCACATATTGTACAGGGTGTGCGCCCAATTTAGACGCGATGACGTCATTGACTATTACGGCAGACTGCATAGTTTCAGTAAGAAATTATTTTCTCGAAAACCATTTAATCCAGTGCTAAAACCTCCATCTGCGGCATTTTTTCAATTATGTACAGGGCGTGTCGATTATGGACAAAAAATCAAAGAGCCTGAAAATTGCTTTCTTCTTGGGTATATTATTAGCCATTAATAAAACGCCATAAAAAAGGAATAATTTGGTTTAAACAGTATCGTAAACTGCATCGAAAGAGTTCCAGGTTTCATCTATCAATCATACAGGGTGCGCGAGATATTAAAAAAAAAAAAAGAAAACATTACAAATACCTGTTACTTGTACAAATTACAACATTTATCAAAGTTTGCCGTCAGTTTGAAGTTGAAATTACATCGATTTTGTAAAAGTTCCTTAGTGGTCCGCAGGAGCACTATAGAAAAACAATGCGTCCCTCTAGGACACGAAACCGCGAAGCGCCTTCTTTTTAAAATAAAAAGCTGTTTCGAGCTACGACCTACGAACTTGCACCGACGATTTTTCGAAAGCAATCTTGTTAGTTTCTCCCCCGGCAACGTGTCCTGCATATTCCCATTTCGGTCTTAGGGCCTTGTGCACTACGTCGATTACCCTGCATTTGTCCTCTTATCTTTAAGAGATAATCCAAGCATTGCCCTTTCCATTGCTTGTTGTGTGACTCTTAGAATGTTCATGTAGGAATGTATGTAAGTATTAGGGAGATTCATGCGTCAAAAATTTTAGTTCTTAGATATAGTTGAATTTGTTGGTTCTTCTTCTTCTGAAGGCTGCCCAAACTAGTGTTCGCCCTCTTTTCATTTCTTCCGTCTGGATATCTCTATTAAGAACGATTTTTTAGGCCAGGTATATCTATGCGGTGACTTTCTATTTCCTTGTCTATCTTTGTGACATTTTCTTCCGTGTACATTACCTCGGTTTTTTCGATGTTCATCTTCAAACCAACCTTGCCGGACTTGTTAGAATTTCTTCCTTACGTTATTAGCTATTAGAATTATATCATCGGCGGTTTGCCATTGATGTTTACGCGATGTTTGTTCGACCAGTTCAGTTTGTTGCATATATCTTCTAGGAGCAAGGTGAAGAGTTTAGGTGACAGACGTCTCTTTCTAGATTTGCTGGTTTTGCGTGTTCTTTCTGGTCGAGCAAGTGTGTAGCTACAGGCTGATTCTTGGTACTTTGTATTAGGGTAATGTATCTCTCAATCCTGCAATTCCGCAGGGCTGTCAGTACCGCGCGATGTTCCACTGTGTCAAATGTTTTAGAATGGATAGAATGGAAATTTATGGTCATATTTTTATATCAGTATTCTCATGGTTAATAAGTGGGCTGATATTGAATAGCCCTTTCTGAAGCCAGCTTGTCCATATCGTTGGTATTCATCCAGTTTCTTGGTTAGCCCATTAGTAATGATCTTATATAAACGTGATAGCAGGTTTTTTGGTCTGTAGTTTTCTAATTTTAGTGCATCGCCCTTCTTTATTACTTTACAGTTATTCCATGCGCTGGTTGTTTTTCCCTGGTGGTGGCAACTGTTTACTAATGTTGTTACGATCCGTCAACTGCGGGTGCTTTGTTAATTGCTCTTAATTGCCTTTGTATACTATACTAATGTATTGTAATGCTTTTCAGCTCCCGGCCCGCATGTCTTTTCAAAACCGCTCCCGATGCCCAACAAGGCCGCGAAAAAGGAAGATCACGAATCGGGTTAGTCAATTTTAGTTTGTCGTATCCTCCTGAGCCGAGGTGTGGTGGCTCGGGATTATTCGATTTTTTAATATTTTCTTTCGCGTCCGCGGCGTTTACTTTTTATTTGCGCCAGAGGACGACTTTTTACTTCGGAATAAACGTATTAAGTTGCGGGGATTTGTTTCATTGTCGCCCCCGGGGGGCGGGATCTGTTTTTTGCAAAGTTTCATTTGAAAAGTCGCGAAACTGACCAAAACTAAGTTTAATAGTGTTTTTTACCTAGAGTATAAACTCTAGGTGAAAAACATAAAAAAAAGAGAAAACAGTTCCGCGGTGACGTCACCCAGTAAATATGTCACGTTGGCTACTATCGACGTTTGTAGTAGGTCCACACAAATGCAAAATAATCTCATCGATTGAGCACACATTTTTCGAAAATTCATGTTATATTGTTAACCTAGGGACGTTCGTCGCTTATTGACAGTCCATGTGCATGAAAAACTGGATATGTCAGAGGTTTTGGAATGGCGGACTACTCTTCAAAAAGTTCTTGTCATTATTACTATCATTTCTTCCCAAACGTACCCAATCACTCCGCAAGACTCGCAACGTTATGTTGACAATCACCATCTAAATCGATCGTGTCCGTTGACAGCGCGTTTTTTCCGTGGTATTTCTTCAAAGTAAAAACAGTTACGTGTTTAGGGAAAAGTCCGGTATGCAGTTTTCGTCCATGCGCGAAGAATCCTCCAAAAATCTCTCATACCCTCCCGAGATAACGATTTTTACCGCATCTACGACCTCTATCTACGGAGTCTGCAGCCGTGGCCGTCTTCCTTCCTTCAATCTTCCCATGATCCTTCTCCCAACTGTCTTCTATCTCATCTCTCTTCTTCCAATCGGACTCCATTCTCTCACTTTGTTGATGCATCTGTTCCTCACTCTTCCAACACTTGACACTTTTGGTTGCTATGTGGTGTATTACATCTTCATTTGCAAGTCGGTCTCTTCTAGTGAGTCCACAGCATCTTCTCCATAGCCATACCTCTGCTGCATATGGCATTATAATCTTCACAATTGTATCTGAATGGAGTTGTTGTATACATGATCATGTCTGCCCAAGCCTGTTCTTTATTCCTTCTTTTTAGACAGTGTAAATTCCAAGTCCTCTATTGATAAATTGACTGCATTCTCTTCCGCCGTTGTCATGTACATTGCCCTCTTCTTCGACCTCTACTGTATTAAATTTATCTAGTGCCAAAATGGTTGCGAGTCTTGCGTGAGCATTGAGAAAACAAACGAGACGAGAAGAAAGAACACCCTGAGTATTTAGAATCGGTTTTTTACGCACCGACCGAATTTAAAGTTTCTTGTAGTTAGTAGGTAAGATAACGCCGGTAAGCTCGGAGGTCGTACCTTAAAAACCTTCCTTTTTAGACGGGAGCCCCGATTACAAAACTACCAACGTCGACGACGCCTTGACTGGAGGCCGAGAACATGTTTTACCGTCTCCGACCAAAACCGACAAGAAAATGTCGAGAACTGATCGGGAACTGAAGAGGATTTTCGACGAGTTCGAAGGGAGATCCTCGAACGGCGTCTTCAGTTCGCAACCTTTGCTACTGACGCCGAAACCGAGGCTTTCTTCGACTCCGAAGAAAGTCCGAATCAACACGAAGATGAATGTGTCCCAGGAGATTTACGAGCATGTGCTACGGGTGGTTTCGTCGCCACAAATCCCGTACGACGGTGCGAAGAAACCGGCTAGACCGGTGTTGAAACCCACCAGGAAGGCCATACCCATCAATCCGTTTTACAAACTGAAGAAAAGCTTCTTTGATGGTCTTTGACGTGGCCCCTCGATGTTACGGCCCTTCGTTGAATTACAAACAGAGATGTATTTTTCATCCACAATAAAAGCAATTTTAATCACTTTAACGTTGTTACTTTTTGGCGAAACTTTTAAAAACCACAGTAAATGGCGTTTTGCGCGGGACAGTAGTCGAATAAAATTACTAACCACGGACTAAAATAGACTGGAAACATGGAAACACCCTGTTACCTTGAAACTATGACGTCTGTGTGCAAAATACACAGATTTCTTTTTTTTTTAAGGAACGAGTTCAACGAATTTGCATTTGAAATTTCTTTTTTGTTTGATTGCAATAAATAAACGAAATAACTTTTTGAATTCTACTATAAGCATGTAATATTTCCCTGCGAACAGATTAAACAGAATATAAAATATAACTTTTACCAAAATGGTATAAATCAGTAAAAAAAAAGGTATTCGATGGAGAAAAAATTTGGACTTAAAAATCTGAAAAATTTTATTATGTCAAATATAACTTAAATAATTCAATATTTTTAGTAATACAACGTTAACATAATTGAAAAACTCACCTGGGATAAGGAAACGGAACTGCTGTTGGTTTTTATGCCCTCTCTTTTGCAATAAGACATCACTTACAATTGCAATGAGAATCGCAAACAATAATTTCCAAGCTTAAAGGTTAAATTTGAGTTTAACTCTTACTATATATAACTTGAATAAGTTTGGAAGGTATTTGTAAGATGATGCTTTCCACTAGTGCGATTTTAGCATTCGACTGCACAGCACGCTTTATTTAAGTTAGTTTTAACCGAATATAGCAGGCAAAATACTAAAATTATGGTAATTAAGTCTTTTTGGTTCACAGCGCTCAATTGCAAAATCGTATCGCCAGCACCATCCCTTACTTGGCCGATTTTTAAATTAAGAATACACAGAAAAGCTCCGGCTACCTTACGATTGGCGATTTTACAATTCAATGGCGGGAAAAATATATTACTATAGTTTGAAAGTTAAGTTGGGAATGGTACATTGTTTTCATAATAAGTTCATGTTTGCGACGTATTTTTTTAAGTTTTATGTTACTGTTTAAAAAATACTATTGTTAGATTTAAATAAATCGAGATTGTTTTAAAGACGACTTTTCCGATCTTGGCGTCAATGTCGAGCGGTGCATGCCAGAGCAGGGCATCAAACTGATGCCCGTCGCCACCCTCTGCGGCGTCCCGGCTCACGCGCGCGAATAGACCCGAAGATTTCCCGACGCATCCGAAATCGATAGATCGCGCCAATATTTAAATATTCGAACGTAATCTAACACGGCCAAACTGACAACATTCCGCTCTCGGAATGCATGACTCATTTGAAGTGTCACAGACATGAACACACAGAAAAAAAACAAAGTTTTATTTCTTTACAGCAACGTTAAAATATATAGATGTGTACATCGGTAAAAATTCGTAAACCTTTCATTCTGCAGATTTATCATCAGCCGTCCCAGAGTTCCCTGTAATGAACAAAAAACGAGAATTCATCAATCAAATGAATTTCACAAACAATTGGGACTAGATTTACGTAATAACTCACAAGCTGACAGACACGATGGAAATTCTGTAGTAAGCACGCATTTACAAATACAGAGTTGACTTGAGTAGCACGATGGAAATACTGCAATAAGCACGTATTTGCGATGGGCTCTCAAACAACAAAATCAAAACACAGAGTTGACTTGAGCAGCGCGATGGAAATACTGCAATAAGCACGTATTTGCGATGGGCTCTCAAACAACAAAATCAAAACACAGAGTTGACTTGAGCAGCGCGATGGAAATACTGCAATAAGCACGTATTTGCGATGGGCTCTCAAACAACAAAATCAAAACACAGAGTTGACTTGAGCAGCGCGATGGAAATACTGCAATAAGCACGTATTTGCGATGGGCTCTCAAACAACAAAATCAAAACACAGAGTTGACTTGAGCAGCGCGATGGAAATACTGCAATAAGCACGTATTTGCGATGGGCTCTCAAACAACAAAATCAAAACACAGAGTTGACTTGAGCAGCGCGATGGAAATACTGCAATAAGCACGTATTTGCGATGGGCTCTCAAACAACAAAATCAAAACACAAAATACTCCAAAGACTATTTAAATTAGTTTTATATACACAACTCAAATCAATCTAACACGGCACAACAAGTCAAATTATGTACTTACAATTGTCTAGTTGTAATAATCTTTGGAAATCGTCAGGCGTCCAATCAGTAGGCCAATGCCGCAACTGATCCTTAGAACATTTAAAAGTTTTCGGAGTACCTAATTTCTTAATCAAATACCGATTATTGGTAAGTGATCTCTTGATTATGTAAGGACCAACAAATTCACAAGAAAACTTTTCAGGTCTTTGACCTCGGCTTAACAAAACAGTATCACCTACTTTATACAGCTGATTGTCTCTTCGCTTCTTATTTAGATAATTCAACTGCCTTTCTGAATTTTGCCGTAGTTTCTTTATAACTGCGGAATAATCCACTGGAGATTTAGTTTCATCAGGGATTGGCAAATCGGTTAAGACTGTACGAATTTGAGGCGTTTGACCCTCTCGACCAAATACTAACTTAAAAGGTGAGCAACCAGTCGTCTTTTGTTTCGTAGTATTGATTACTAACTGGATCTTCCATACTTTGTTCGGCCAATCTGTTACTTTATTGGATTCAACTCTTAACAAATTGGTAATAGTTCGCATATAGCGTTCTATTTGTCCGTTGGAGCGATGAACACCGGGGGTTGTCACGTGTAATTCGATGCCAAAATATTCGGTAAATGATTTAAATATTTTTGCTATGAAATTAGTTCCAGCGTCGTGAATTAGTTTGGAGGGCGTGCCAAATATGCTGAGGAATTTAGCAAAATTTTGTGTTGTTTCTTCTGTAGTAACGGTGGATTGAGGATATAGGAGACAGAATTTGGAGAAGGCGTCAATTATAACAAGGATATATTTATAGTTTTTTGGATTACCTGGTAAGGGGCCCAGACAGTCGACATGAACTGTATGGGATGGTTCATCGGGCTTTGGGATAGAAGTAAGGAAGCCTTGTTTAGGACCCGTCTGATTTTTTCGTACTGCACATATCAAACAGTGTTCAACATACTTTTTAACATACCTGGTCATATGGGGAAACCAAAAGTAAAGTCTGATTGAGGCAAGAGTTTTTTCCCAACCTATGTGACTTTGATCATCGTGAAATATTTTCAAAAGACTATAACGGTTATTAGATGGTACAAAAAGTAAAGACTGAGACGATTTGTTATTTTTATTGGTTGTAATACGAAATAAGGTCTCTTTTTCTAATTTATATTTTCGTTTGACATCATCTTTAGCATCGTTCAAAGATTGAATGATTTGTTTACATTCCTCATCTTGACTTTGTGATACGGTAAGCCAATTTTTATGAAAATTGGGTTGTGAATCGATATGAGCTACAGTTTCAATTGGGTTCCTGCTAAGGAAGTCAACATGAGATATTTCAGAGCCCTTACGATAAACAATTTCGAAGTCGAAATCCTGCATATAAGCCCACCAGCGGGCGGTCCGCGGCTTAAGTTCTTTTTTGCTTGCAGATAATTTTAAGGAATTGCAATCAGTTACTAAAGTGAATCTTAATCCAAGCAAATATACACGAAAATTTTTTAAAGCTTTCACAACGGCCAGAGTCTCTAGTTCAAACGAATGATACATAGCTTCATCTGGATTGGTTTTTTGACTGAAATATTCAACTGGACGAAAGGTATCACTGTGTTTCTGCAATAAAATAGCACCGAAACCAATACTGCTCGCATCAGTATGCAATTGAGTCTCTAAATTTGAATCGAAAATTGACAATAGGGGTTTTTGAGTAAGGACATCAATAACATACTGCCTTGCTTTTTCACATTCAGTCGTCCAAACAAAGGGAACATCATTACGAGTCAAGTGAGTTATACAAGCTACTTTGGAAGAAAAAGCGGGAATAAATTTACGGAAGTAGCTCGCCAAACCGATGAATTGGCGCACTTGTTTCACGTTAGTGGGTGACAGACTTTCCTTGACTGCTTTAACTTTATTCGGATCAGGTCGGATACCATCAGCCGATATTTGACGACCTAAATAGGTGATGTTTTGCATAAAAAATCGACATTTACGAAGGTTAATTGAAAATCCGGCTTTAGACAAAGCATCAAGAACTAATTTTAGTTTACAAAATCCATCCTCAAGTGTGATGGAGGGTATTACTATGTCATCCATGTAAACAACCGCGGTGTCATATTTTAGGTTACCTAAAGCCATATTAATTGCTCTCTGAAAGACCGCAGGACCATTGGCCAGTCCAAAAGGCATTTTTAAATACTCATACTGACCATCCGGTGTCACGAAAGCGGTTTTTGGAATCGACTCGGGATTAATCGGGATTTGGTGAAAGCCCGAAGCCATATCAAGTGACGTGAAAAATTTATTTTTGCCTAAACGATCGAGCTGATCGTCAATACGTGGCAATGGATACCGATCTCTTAAAGTTATTTTATTCAAATGACGATAATCGACACACAATCGAAATGTCCCATCTTTTTTCTTAACGAGTATAATCGGGCTCCCAAATGGAGAATTGCTCTCCCGGACGATTTCGTTTTTAATTAGATCAGCAACGATGCCACGTACTTTCTGACGCTCAAACTCCGACATACGGTAGGGATGGTGATAAACAGTTTTGTTTTCTGTCAATGTGATGGTTAATTCCCCGGTATTGACAGGTTTAATGGTAAAATCAGTAGCAGTTGACAAATTCTGATAATTCCCCAGCAGTTTGATTAGTTCAGCCATTTCTGCATGCTCCAGATCACTTGTTATTTCCGAGTTATGAATGGTTCGAGTAGAATTTGTAAGCGCAAGCATGGGCATAATTTTTTGAACGTTTTTATTTTTTATTAAAACTACATTATTTTCGTAAACATTTTCACCAACGATAACGTCATATTTGGAATGACTATGCGGCACAATAACAAGATCAAGCGTTATTTTTATTTCGGGAAACTCTACCAATGCTTTGGTAAAAGAAAAAGAATTATGTATGGTACCGTCGAACCATCGTAAAGGAGTAACACGCGGAATTTTCTTTAGATTTAATTTGTCTACCAACGTTTCTTTTATTAGCGAACACGTGGAGCCGGTATCAATTAAACAATTTGTAGTGTAACCCGAAATAACGATAGGCACAGTTTTTAACTTGTTTTCATTAAAATTATGTGAATTGAGCAAAACGTGATGAGATTTAAATTTCTTTACGGTTGGGTCCTGTCCGGACTCTGAAACTTCACTTCCTCGACTTTGTTTATTTTGCCGACGAAAACAATTTTCAATGCCGTGACCAGGTCTTTTACAATATCGGCAAACATCAAACCCTTTATTATCCGAGTTATTGGTATTCTTAGTTTTAGATTTACAATCGCGAGAAAAGTGTCCCGATTGACCGCAAGAATAACAATTTGCCTGCGTCGTTTTTTTGTGTGAAAATACATTATTTTTCTTATTCAATTCGGATGCCGATTTTTCGACCAGAGGAATTTTTATGTAATTAGAGAGAAATGCAATTAAATCACTAACAGAGGCGGCACTACAATTATAGGCCGCAGTTCTGACCGCAAGATCGTCTATTGAATGAGCAATTATTTCGATCAAATCCGAATCAGACCAACTTGCCCGCGTGCGCTTTAATTTTTCTAATTTAATTCTCGCGTATTCAACATAACTGCGCGCATCGGAACTACGATAATTTACAGCATCGCTTAACAGTTTACCCAAATTCTTTTGTTTGGGAAAAGATACAGAAAAGTCAAATTTAAAATTTTCCCACGTTTCTTCCGTGGGTTGCCATGCCGAAAACCATCTTAGTGCAGATTTTTGCAAAAATGGACCAATTCTACTCACGGTTTCCCGATCTGACCAAGCAAATTCGTTCTTATACCCTTCAATTTTTTGTAACCAAATACCACTATCCATATTGTCGGGGTCAAAACTCGGCAAGGCCAACGAAATGGGAGTGGTTTGGGTGGCTGGCGATGTGGTTGATGTCGGCGACGGCTCCTTTGTACCGACACGCTGTTGCAAATTCTCAAGGATCGACGCTATGGCGCCCAAAGATCGATTCAGTTCTTCTTCGGCCATTATAGCACACTCCAAATTACGTTAAACGATTACACGTGCACCCCACACCTGATGTTAGATTTAAATAAATCGAGATTGTTTTAAAGACGACTTTTCCGATCTTGGCGTCAATGTCGAGCGGTGCATGCCAGAGCAGGGCATCAAACTGATGCCCGTCGCCACCCTCTGCGGCGTCCCGGCTCACGCGCGCGAATAGACCCGAAGATTTCCCGACGCATCCGAAATCGATAGATCGCGCCAATATTTAAATATTCGAACGTAATCTAACACTATGGTACAGTTTGCCTTTACAGGATTAATCATTAAAGAAAAACTTACCGTTTCAAATCCAAACACAAATCATATTGCTCTCTTGATGGGTGTCACTCAAGAAATATTAAATATTATCATAATAGTTTTTGATGTAAAAAGTTTATTCTTGCAACCTACCTGACACACAATATATTTGCCACTTAACGACGAACTAGCTTTATAACTGCAACGGACCCTTAATTTCATAGGAAGTAATTTTGATTTTGCTAGATGGAAGGCATACCGTAAAAATGTCCATCAAGTTATCGGTTCTGAACTAGACCTAAGACTTTGCATTTAATCATCATCTTCCATGAATCACACATCACAAAAAATGATAAAACATAGCTACTCATATTGCTTTATTCTTGCTTAAAAAACATTAAATTTATAAAACGCATTGCAAATTGCAAGTACAACGTTCATATTACTTTACCGTTAGTGGCGCCACCAACGGAGACTAAAGACGCGAATCTTTAGTTAGTATACTGTGCATAAAATCATGGATAGTTGGTTCTGTCTAAACCACGGATTGTGGTAGAAAGTCCTTTAAAAAGGACTTTCTACCGTCATGCCTTAAGCTTTTCGGACACTTAAAAATTATTTGTGGGTATATGGTTTAGTGCTGTTTCAGAATTGGGCGGTAAAAAAATACTTCATAAATAAATTATTACCATAGGAAACGTATTTATTGTACACACGCACTCATTAATAACATTAATTGTAAACGCAACATTAGGTATTTAAATTGGGCAAGTTCGTAAGGTTACTGTGTCAGCGTTTTTTTAGTAATATTTTAACACTCGAGACTCGGGGTTATATCACATTGAGTTAAAACAACAGGAAAATTAACCTAGTCTATTGCTCAGTCGCCGTTTTGGTTTGGTAACTGTCTTTTCAATTTTCATCTCGTAATACTGTTTGTCGACGTCCACGAACTTTGCCAGACGTTTCATCTGTCTCTTCTCCCTTTCGTCGGTTTCGGGTTCTTCGCTACCGGGCGGATTGTTTCTCATCTAAAACGATCGTTCCGTCGTTAGTCAACTTCGCATTCGATTTACCCGTACCTAACGTTTTTTTACATATGTGGCACCGACTACCGGTTTCATTCTCTGATCTGCAGATACCTACCCTGACGAATGGATGCGTCGTGTGGAATGGCTCTGGCATTTCGCAAAGACCGAAAACTAATTGATAACGAGCGAAAAGGAAATGAAAACTGAAGCGGTGTATTCGAATTACGGGGTGTCGTGAGTGCAAAAAAAATGCTAGGCAACACACTACACGTAAGAAGAAATCTAAGAAACAATTAAGAACGCAAACAATAGTAGCAAAAAATACGTAAATAAGTTCGGTGGACGCGGAATACAAGAAAAAGACACATTCTGAGGCAGATCCTGTTTATTTATAGCATAAGTGTGTTAGTAATTATTAGTACTACTGGAACACCACCGTGGTAAAAAGGTAACCATAACCAAGTCTTGAAGCATATTATACAAACCGCAAACAAATTACCCAGTGCCTGCTGAACCAAATCCCGTAAAGTTAACTATTTTCTTAAAGAATGGAAGCTCAGGTTAAAACTATAATTAAAAGCTATCCTATGCAAAAAATATATCAAATTAGTTTTCCGTCGCGTTAGTCCTCTCCGGAAGCCTTGTTAAGCCTTTGCTGTAAAAAAAAATTAAACACTCGTTTAATCGCTATAGCCAACATTGTATATACAACTAACATCAATATATTAGCAATTTAAAACGCAGTTAAAGTGTGCTTTGACAATTTGACAATTGACAGCAGGTAGCTTGGTTTTTGTGACTTACCATTATCCTGTACTTTTCTTTGCAAGCGAAACGACTTTCGTCCACATCTTGGTAGCAGTCGCTCTTGTAGTCTTCAGGAATTGCGGCGCCTTCAAATTCACATAACTTACTCAAAGGCCTCGCCCTGAAATTGCTCTCCCTTTAAGACATGCCTCCAATACACCGACCAAGGCTTACTTAACTATGAGCTTATCCATACCGGTGGGTTTGTGAATTGGACAGTAAAAAACGTCAGGGGTGTTTTTGTCGTAAACTATGCTCTTCCGCATCATGTCCTTGGCACCGGCAACCACCGCCAGAAACAGAGAAAACACCCAAAAGAACGCCGCGACATTCATCTTCTTCGCACAAAAGAACCAGTCCAAACGAACAGACTTCCTGTTAAATCTGGGTTATATAAATTCTTTATCGCATCAAGCTATTGCCAAACACTTTTTTTATTTCTCGAGATCAACGTTCGAACGACAATACGCGATTATAGCGAACGTAGATCGCTGACGCTGCGTAAAATTTCGAACATCAAGCCTTGAAAGTAATGTTAAAAACTTTCACTGTTGTTGGTCGCGTATAATTTAGGTTAAAGGAAACACCAGAAACGCCATGGCAACGGGCATAACAACAAAACAAAATGTTTACCTGCGTGACGAAAATTCGGCGAGAATCAAAAAGGCGTTGGCCGGGTCGATTTTTGGAAGTATATTTGGAAATGATTCAAACCCAACGCCTACTTCGTTTTTCTGTCGGACTTGTTCCAACGACACCGATGCAATGAGGATCGGATTTGGTAAACCATTCACAACCCACTCGACACCAAATATTTCACTCTACGCTGTTATTTTACTGCATTTATTGGAGCGAACTGACCACTAACTTACTGAAGACTGAAATTATTAACCGACACAGAATAGCAGGTAAACGGTTAACAGTTATTTGGCATCGTAGCCGTGACGTCATTCGCGAAGTAGCCGTAGGTGGTGCTTTTGGACAAGTGATTTAATATTGACAGCGGACAAAGTTTACAGAATAATATAATTCTGCAAAGCTACGTATGCTATATTAATGACGTAGTTGAAAGAGAGGTTGGCTGAGGTTGAAAGATGTAATCGGTAATTTAACTACACGTGTAAAATAGAAAGAAGTCTCGGAAACGCAGAAACTAACGAACGATGGCTTATATATTTTTATCGTTTAAATAACAAATAATGGGGGTACATGTAAACAATATGTACAAGTATTTATTCTTCGGCGACCGTAACTAATTAAATAATATTACACAACCGATTTCCTTTCCTAATAAAAAATAATACATAAGTTTCGTAATTAAACAATACAACAAAGAAACCGAAGCAGAACATTGTTGGTTGCATCTCTCTCTGCGCGCTGCTTCTGTGTCCATTGAAGCACAGATATGGTAAATGGTTCTTCCCGTGCTCTTCGAAAATAGATATTGGCTTTGAAACACGCAAGCCCAATTCAAAAAATTTACAGTTCAAGCTTTATATTTTCATTTGGCACGTGTTGCGCTACACTAATAAATGTTCCGAGAAAACCCAAAAGGTAAAGTTTAGTTAGACTTTTAAATAACATAAACAACAAATATTAGGGATAAATGGTGGATTTGAAGATGGCGCCTATAGGTGTAACGATATCTACGAAGGTGGAAGATTTTACAGTTATACTTAATGGAAAGAAATATCAAAAATAGACAACCCAAAGGTTTAGAATCGATTTTTTTGAATAATCATTTTGATTCAAGTTCGTTCTGTAATCCCGCCGTAAGAATTAACGGCGTATACGTCTTACGGCTAACAGTCAGAGTTTATTCCCTATACTTATAATATTTAATTAACATGTTATTTTTATATACAAATTTACTACGAATTGCATGGATACAGCATTGAATAAAAAATGGTATAATTATCATATTTAGTATTTGCGGTAAATTTCGCCGATTCAGACCGTTTCGAATCCCTGTTGCTCCAGAGAAAATAATTGAGTTTCACCACAATTCTTTTTTAACGCAAATAATTGGGGATAGTGCTTAAAGTTCCTTGTTCTTACATAACTAAATTCTATGTCCGGATATTATCACAACCACCGCGATCCAGACGACCGAAAATATCCCTGTCGTTCGATTCCCTAGTCTTCCGCCATCGCTGGCTTCCTTTACTGATGTGGTGAGTGCTTTTTCTTGTTCGCGGAAGAGGTTTTTCGCGAGCATGCGCATTTTCGTGATCCTGTCGTCGAATACAGCCGTCGAGCTGTTCGTAGGAGCGTTGAAGTTGCAGTAGTTCTGGTCGCAGCAGGATATGCACATCTGCAATATATTTGAACTTGGCAATAACAATATTTATAACCACAACTAAGCTTCTTTATTAAATATCGCTTTTTTATTATTTTAACGTTATAATTGATTACGAGTAGAAAATTCGGAACTGGCGATGAAATAGTTGGACTAAAAAATAGTGAGTCGATCGAGATTATCAACAATTTTCAAAAGTAATAACAATGTAAATTAAAATGCCGTTATCCTCGTTTCGAAAGATAATGATACACTCTGGAAAGATCCCATGTAGCCACGGTCCTTTTTATTGGTTTTTGTACTTGTCTCCTTATGTTCCTGGTTTCCTTATTTTGGTCGCAAAATTCTAGGCATTTATTCTCGCTGATTTGACGGTACGGGTCTCCCTTCTCTTCACTCACCCTCTGCGCGTCGATTTCCACGCATCCCACCTTGTTCCGCTGACATTCCCTCTCGGTGGTGCATTTCTTGTTGACGAGCACGCTCGTTCCTTTGGAGTCCATTATGTGCAGAGTGTGGCAGAATGTTTCCCCTGAAACGATATCCCTGTGAACGTGACGTCACTTTTGCATTGTTTAAAAATTCAAAAAGCGGGACTAGAACACATCTACTGACCTACAGGAATCTTACCTGGTTTGCAAGGTCGGTCGATGGCAAACTGGTTACAAATTGGGTTGTCAGAAACGTTGACGCAGATGTAACAGGTGACTGCGTATTTGTCAAAGTCGACAAAGTCCTGCTGGTTGCTGCTGCCCTCGATCGTGTTCGAAATTAGATTGGCGTCTTCCAAGGTGTTGGTCATGAAAATACAGCTCAGAAGCATGCCGATTCTGAACATCACAGTCTGTAACGAGAGAGGCACTTTGGTGCACATTGCTGTCGATCGAATTGATTGGTTCGTTGGTATTGGCGAAAATTAGCAACGGTACATAAGAAATTTCTATATAAAATATACGAAAACGCAAAATCAGTTTTTACAGTAATAACGGATGAAAAAATAATTAGAGATTAATAATAAAAGGTGGGAAATAACGACTGTTGTAATTAAGGTAAATAACCAGTTTCTGATTGAACCTGTAGAATATATTGTAAGTCGTATCTTCTGTCTGGGTAGTTGTAGTTATAGTTTAATTGTATATAACTTGTAGGAAAATGTATGATATACAAAATAAATGTCTTTGTTACATGACACATCAAGCATATAGAGAGATAAACGACATTGACACTGGCACCGAATCTTATTTGAAAGATTAGGTGGATGCTGACATTTTTAAGTAAAAAAATGCAAACAATATAAAATTGAAGTAAATATTTTATAGTTGGTGTCGCAGATGATAATAGTTGTGGACACTTAGGAGGTTACGGTTCAAAAACTTAATAGGATTAAAAAAATAAATATAAATAATTGGTCAGTTTTGGTTAGGTAGTTATAAAAGCAATAATTAATTTCGTACATTAACATTAACATTTAGGTATAGGAAGGAATCATCACTTTTCAATTTTAAATTTCAAATTTAGACGTACAAAGTACAAATTGCAAACCAATTATTACAATTCGAAATTTTATTTGGCAAATAAATGTAGAAACAGTCATTAAAGCGTAATTATGCTTGTGTTCTTAGTAAATATTATAACTCAGCAGCTATTACAGTGGTACCGTGGTAGTCTTTGTAATTGTGACAGATTCTCTATTTAACATAATTTAAATTAATTTGTTTATTACAGTATTGCCAAATTTTTAAGTATCAAGTCTTTCTACATAGCACGGCGTTTGATACGAAAATAAATTCAAAGTTAATATTCCGTCTTGTTTCAGCTAAATTTTTCCATTTGATTTTGTTTTTGTTGATACTTGTAAGCAATGAAACTGGCCCATATACAATATTTATGTTTCTTGGAAACAAGTCCGTGGGATAATTTTTTTTTACATTACATTATTTTCAACAACCATTTTTGCGTATTACTCAAAGCCTTTATGTATGAGTACGCTACTCCATCTTGTTCTAAAATTCCATACGATAAAGTACTACAAAGTAAAGGACCTAATACAGTGCCCTGGAAAACTCCACAAGCTGTTTCTTTTGTTTCCCATTGTCAAGGCTTATTGGGCCTCTACAGAAACTAATTATTCTCGCGTGTCTTCTTGACAACCTTAGAAAATGCAGAGAGCAGTGACACTGGTCTATAATTCTCTACATTGTTATTCTGAGACAATTTGCAAAAATGAAATTTTGAGCGCTTGTGTATTACAGTTGAAACTTGTCTACATGAAACTATTGCATCAGATTTTCGTAAACAATAGCCGCAGTTTCAGGTGTCTAAGGCTTAAAATATGTCTATAATATAGATTTATTGGACCTTATTTAAAATAGTAAATGAAAAAAATCGTACGCAATCGCACAGTGTGCGGCTCCGTCCGGCAATATTTCCATAAAGACCCGACGCGAGCGATCCTATGCTAAGCAGTTTTGTTTAGAGGAGGGGTTCGGTGGTCGAACCCCTGCCGCAAGCACGTCTACAGTTTGGATCGCAATCCCACGGGATACGCGCGTGGGTGGGAATTACCCGCAATTCAATCTCTGCGGATCGCGACCCAGCACGTACTACAGAACTGTGCCCGGGCGAGAGTATATAGTCTGTTTGCCGGAATTTTCGTCGATTTGTTTTTTGAAATATACAAACGAGGGCCAAACTCCCCTCCTTGAGATTGGTGGAATTTGTCACAGAGCTTCGACCCCTCGCTCTTGGTATTGCAAGATTCGTTTGACGCTAGTTGTCTCTCTCGCACGGCGGAGAGAATTCAAGAACGTAGTTAATATTTTTTACCGTTTTTACTATTTTTGAGATGATTTGTTATTATTTTTCTTACGAGAATGATTAATTATATCAAGGAATACGAAATTATTCTTTCCTTATTCATGTATTATTATCTACAGACAACGGCTAAAATATGAAACAAGTTCATTTAAAAACCAGATATTGGATTTGAAGAAACATGCTCACAAACTTCCATCATAATTTAGAAATAGAAAATGTACAGGGTGATTCAAAAATTAGATGTCCACACAAGTTCCTTTTTTATATGGAACACTATTTTTTTAAATCAAGCAAAGGAATAAAATACAGAAATTTATTTTTGAAATGAACACGTAAATATTAAGATTGGTTTCGAAAAATCTGAAGAAATTGCAATTTAAAAGGATATTTTTTCAAATATATCGCGTCCCCTGTATTATAGACGAAACCTCTCTCGACACAGTTTACGATACTGTTCATATCAAATTATCACATCCTTAAAAAAAAAAAAATTCTAGAATCTATTAGAATTTTTTGCGCATAAACTTGGTACCCTGCAATAGAGGATCTAGCCCTGGATCTCCTTAGTATCCTGGTATACGAATTTTTCCAATGGAGTAAAGAAAGAAACTACTTGTTTTCTGAATCCATGTATAGTAAGTGACGTCATCGCGTGACGGATTGGCTATATGTGGGTCTGAACTTCTACTTCTCTGCCAAATCTGAAGTCGGTGGCCGCCAATTTGCTGCACCTATTACGTTTTTTAATATTGCACTGAATATCGCGAACACCCTTGTTTTTTTTCTTATATGGACGCGCTCTATCCAATCATCTGTAGTATTCGTATGCTGGTATAAAAAAAAATAAATTTAAAAATATTTTTAGTAAGGAAATATTTGTAATGTTATAGTCATATAATGGCTATATTACACAGTCGAAGAGTAAAATGACTTCAGCAGTACACAAAAGTTAAAAAAATCGCCAAAAACCACTATTTTACTGCCCGTGCTCAAAAAAGTACTTTGGTCAAGTCGACATACTGTGATGTCACGTTCTCTGAGAAGCTAAGCAAATGTAATGCTGGTAATGATCTGATATTTTGACAATATAGGAACTTTGAGAAGGAATGCGCATGCGCGATCATTTCAAACCAACCAATAAAGCGCCGTGCCACAAACAACATGACTGGCAGTTTGACAATTCGAAAAGTTTCAGGGTAGATAGGTCACAATAAATGTTTTTGCAAAAACGAAAGAAGTACGGGGAAATCGCCCTTAAAAAGGAAATGGCGCAAAGTGCAGATTAATATGTAAAATTTAGAAGCTTTCGCGATGTTTCAGACTCCGGCCCTCTTCCAGACGGTTCTCGCGAAAACCAAAACGGACATTTCGCAGGTTGTTTGGAACAAAACGTCGCGCTAAGGTAAACTCTCGGTCTTTCCCGTTAAACCCAATTTAATAATGAAGCCGCTAATGTAATTGCAGCGAGAATGTAGCAGTAGCGACGTAAGCCGAGAATAAATTCGCCTTAAACGCTTTTATCTCGAATTAAATTTGCCGTGTTCCGGTAGTTGTTAAAGGATACTACGCCGCCGCTACGGTGTTTGCATTCGGAACGCGTACGTCGGCTACGCCGTCTACAGGTAGGACACAGCGCGGAGTATTAAACTGTGTCACGAACGGATTATGACGGGTAGAGTAATTTCGTGTTAGGCGTCGGTGAAGACGCGTCGAAACAGCTGCCGTTTTCGCGTAAAATTTTTAGTTTATTTTTCCAAAGAAGAAATGTATCGGGGAACCGCTACGCGGCAAATTCAATACGATTCGCCGAACTCCCTCCCCACCGCCCGAGTGTTTTATATTCGACGTCGGTACGAAGTCGGAAACGTATTTGCCTAATTTATAGACTGCATAACTCGAAACGTCTATTTGCTAGGCGGGAGTCGATGTAACAAAAGGACGATCAAATATCTCAGATGTTTTGGTTTATCGAATATGAAAAATGAACGAATAAATATTAATGAGTAATAAAAGAAAATGAAAGAGAAATTAACCAATAAAAACAAGCTAATTCACTTCACTTCGCTCGCATGTATATTTAGCGTCTTTCTTCATCTAGCCCCAAACGTATCGAAATGTCGGCGCCAAAGGGTAACAACTGAATAGGAGCCGGAAAACCCTTTCACGGCGACTACGTTTGATTTACTCTCCGAAATGAAATTTTTTTTTCGTCCTTTCAGCGGGGTTTAACGGATCTTCGACCCCAGTTTTTCGCTTACGTCGAACGTGTCACCCTCCCCGTCCCCCGAACGAGGGTCGACTTATTGGTAACATATTTACTGCCCTATAAAAATTTTACTGCCGGCCCTGATGGCGTCGCTCGCGAAAGTCGTCATAGACTGAGCGACAATTTTTCCTGCTGGCTTACATCGAACGACTCGCCGATTGCAAAACCAATAAATTCGAAATATTTTTCCCGAAAAAAACTCTCTCAGACAATATATTAAATTATTTCTTGAATATGTGAAACTTTTTTCTTACGTGGGTAAGTAGTATATATTTAACTTCACCATCCTCCGCCCACTGAAGGGTACCTTAAAATAAAAAAAATATATATACAGATTTCTAACTAAAAATAAATTACATATTTCCAGTTCGGGTAAATAAAACCCTGAAATACTGGCTTAGTTGGTAATCGGAAAAATTAGACATAAAAAGTGACAGTTGACGCTATTCCTAAACTGTTTGTTTTCGATGTTAATTTGGCAGCCACTTTTCCACTTGTTACAGAAGGATACTTTTTAAGTCTAATTAATCATTGTTCACTAGAAAAAAAAACTCTCTTGATTTAACCCTAGGCGTTCGTAGATATAAATATCCGTAGATTCTTATGCCGCGTTTAGCCCTTTGGCCATAATGCAGTTTTCTCGTAGCAGCGAAATTACTTTGATCGATGGCGGGGTAGCGATTTTAACCGCGCTAGGGGCGTGTAAGTAGCGTTGGGGTCGGCGTAGTCTGGTTTCGTCGTAACATCTTGATACATCGTAAGAGGCCGTAGCCATGCAGCGGCGTCCGCGTCGAAGATAAACGGCACCGTTTTGGTATCGAAAGCTGCCTAAGATTTATTTGTCTAAAACAATTCCCGAAACAGTTGTGTTACCGCTCTTTAAAAGCGTCGTTCTTTTGTGGCACTACAGCAAAATAAAAACAATTCATATCTGCACAAATGTTTTGTGTGGTATCTTCATCGGATTGTCATGAAAATCAAAACATGGTATTTTGCTAGATCGATCATTACTAGTTGACAGCTACGACTGCGTTTTGCTAACCAAGTGAGTATAATGAGATGTTATCAACTCAGTTTATATTATCTGCTAATTTATGCATGGTTGAAAAATACACGAAATTGTTTGATGTCATCGAATCGAATGCGAAATATAATATATATTAATATATATATAACTTGTCTATCGGAGGCATGCGTTTAAAACCTTTCCCAGATAAATTTTTATTACAAACAGCTTGCGAACTTGAAAGACATCGATATTACTCAATCCGGTCGGTTTTAAGCCTTCTTCGGTTAAAAGCTTTTGTCCTTCGTCCCCCTTTAACTCAACGAGATAGCCTTTTATCGTGGTTTATCCATTGTCGCTGAGGATTTATTTTTATTTATTTGTTTCATTCACACAGCGTCCCATACACAATCAATCAAACGCGTATCCTGTATCTTTTCTTTTAATTTAACCGAGGTCGATGGAACTTGGAAAAATATTGTTAAAAAATCAAAATAAAATTTGGTCCAGGTCCGGCTCATTTTTATTATAGATTATTATAGATCAGATCTTACCTTACACGCGTTCTTCTGCCATTTAGCGGACTTCCGTCGACAAAGATGACCATCGGTTCGGGGCTCCCAAAGCGTTAAACTAAATTCAACTTAAGGGTGGTTACGAAAACAAGCCGCGGGTGCACAAACCTGATTAAAGCCCGAAAACCGAATGTCCAAAATGTCGGTCGACCGTTACGGCGGGCAGAGTTGGCCTGCCGCCCCTGTCCAGGGTAGGAATCTCGATAAATTTTGGAAGTATCACGTCCACTAATATATGTCTATATCCGCAGGGGTCGTCCAGTTATGCGTGAAGTATAAGCCGGTCCTGACCTGCGCCCCCAAAGTTATTTCCGAAACTAAATCGCACGGGAAGCAATGACTAAGGGTTCCATATTACGATAAATTTAAATTAGGACCCCGTGTTTAGTGGACGCTGGTTGGAAAATTAGCTTACGGGTTTGATTGTTTGGTGGTCCCGCTGGGGTATATTACGGGGAGGCGGTTTTTCAAGTTTTCGACCGAGGAAAATCGTGACGGTAAAAGCCGGTGGTCCGGGGTCCCGACGGATTAGTAAAACGCTGCCTTTTGTTTTATGCACGATTTAAAAGTTGTCGGCGCTCACCAAAGTTGAACGTATACTAGTTGGCAACCACAGCGCACATTAAACTTTAGAGTTTTACGGGGAATATTGCAGTATTCGGCAAATCTCCACAACTTTGTAAACTATGACAGCCACTACGTATTTTCGTAAAGCACACTAATTGAACCTGTATTACCCTCTTACACCTTACAGCTTCCTTTAAAAACAATAATAAGTTTTTTTTTGAGAATCATAGCTTCGCTTTTTTTCTAGCAATGTTAAGCTTTTAAGAAACCAACTAGATTGCAATGGTTTGGGTGGGTCAGATCCTAGAAGCGAACATTCGGTTCCACATAAACGATAACGATAACACGTAGCTTGTCCTAGAATCAGAAGCGGGATTTTCTTTCACAAGTGACGTTCCCGCGAGGGATTTCCGGTCGTAACTACAGTTTAGGCAAACGAAAAGTTTTTTTTTAAATTGAAGTTTAGGGTTGAAGCGGCCGCCACATTTTTATCGTCGAAACGGTAAACGGGACAGACAACTAGCGAATTCAAATCGGACAATTTGTATGCGACACGACGAATTCAAAGCGACGGAGTCAAAGACGTTTTAAACGCGTTTTAAAGTAATCCCCAGCGCGCGAGGGGAGTCCCCGGAGACACGATTTGACACTAAATTTAGTTTGCGCGAAAGGTACGTACCGGATTCCGTTTGTGCAAGTCAAATAATATGAGCCATATTGGATTTTTGTTGTTTTTAATATATTTTTGTTCATGATGACTACAAGGCGTCCCCGTTATTGGCAATAACATGTGACGGTTTCATATTTCAATGGTAAAATTTAGCATTTTTAAAGTACCAGTGCTGGCACATTTGCGAAGTAACGGGTTTATTTTATTAGTACCTTGTAGAATTAATTGTACTGTCCATTTCCTTCACATTTTGCTGTTTGGCGAGTGCTTCTTAACAATTAAAATTCTTGTTTATTAGGTTCATATCGATTTTGCAATTTGAACACACGTTCTTTTGTAGACTCGGTTCCTTTAGTTTCGGACTTGTACTCCCCGGCCGATTGTGTTGCCGAACCATAAATATTTTATGCTGCAACGGCTGTGTGCGTGGCCCCTTGTTCGCTTGGTTTTCTCTTAAGTGACACCGGTTTACTGAGAGATACTAATGCAAAAAACAGAGTATTAGTTGCGCATTAGAAGGAGTCATAACCATTACCATCTGTCACTCTATGAGACTAGGGACCGCATTTGCTTTTCATTGCTTCGGTATTCCTTGGCGAGCCTAGTAAACATTGTTTTGTTTCTTAACCTATTCTTCCTCGATTTTCTGTGACTGGCCGTCCGGTCGCCACCATAGATAGCGTTCGGGTAATTCGATCTCGTTGACGCAACCTCGATTCTTTGGCACGGGCCATACGGCCATCACCACAGATATAGTTCGGTTGTTCTTTCTACTGGCGGCGTACCGTCGACTAGGTTGGCAAGAGTGGCGTTTTCCCTCTAATTTTTTGTGCCCGTTTAGCCTTTTAATAAAACTGGTTGTCTGAATCGTCCGGCATTTTGTACGCTGGCTTTTGAAGCTTGGGGTTGTGGCAGATTTTCTTTTGTGTGACCGATTTCTTTTTGAGCCGGTAGTGCTACCCCAATAAGAGGGGGATATGTAAATTGGTCACTAATTTATGATTTCCCATACTTTTGGATCTATTTGGAGTTTGGAATGGGAATCTTCCTCAACGAGGGATTTTGAAAAGAATTGTCATTGCCCCATATTTCCAGAAAACCCTCGAATCGAGGTAAGTTACCTTTTGGAACCATTTCGCCACCTAATCAGTGTTCCTCAATTTATGCCGATTTTATTTTAGGGTTTTTTTTTTTAATTAGTATTGTACGTATTGTTGCTCCGTTTCCCGCAAACCTTCCACGTGGTTTCTTCTTTCACCGGAATACCAGACCAGGCTTGGTGTCTTGCAGTGTATGCTGTCTCTTGGGTACATGTTTAGTTGCGGAGTTTCCCTTATCGAGCAGCAGGCTTTCCGGACGGACTTTGCTGGGTTAACTGAGACTGCCCACCTGCGGCTGTCCCATTGAGCCACCATTCCATCTTGGCTTGGTTCCCGGGATAGTGACAGACAGCTGTGTAACGTTCGGGACATCTTGAGGTTTGGGTAGCTTAAGTGGCCTGTTCTCTTCAAGAACGGTTTGCGGAACTTATAGCCTTAAATTATAGTGTCTTACATTCTTTTGCACCGCCAAAACTTGAAGGTGAGATTTGACACTCACACCTACCACCAGGTTGAAGGAAATAAATTATTGTTCGTGATTCACTTGTTTATTTCCTTTACGGGTTGGAACCTCGGGTTGATAAGTCTACTTTTTTCGAATCACGTGGCGCCTACCTACCACCTTCCGGGACTGACCGAAGTGCCCTTCACCGCCTTCCAACCTGGCTTTGGTTTAGTATATATATATTTTTTTCCTTTTCTACTTTATTAATTTTTCTCGGGTGTTAATGAGCTAGCCTAGGCATTGTCTTACCTCACTATTAAATTACGAATTCAATTAATTAATGCGTTTCTTTTTCACGACCCTGAGATGGAGAGGTAAGAAACATAGAAAAAAGTAATCAAATATTTGTGAGTCACTGCGCAAAAATTGAGGTCCAATAACAAAATTTCCAGACCTTTTTTAATACGAACTATAATCAAAATTTAATGTATTAATAGAGAAAGCAAAGAAAAACGATTTTTTTCCTTTGTATCAAAAAATAAAGACTGCAAAAAATTTCTAGTCCGGGACTTTTTTGAAAATGCTAGGCAACAAGCTAATTCTTTGGAAATTGTTTCATTTCATCAAGACGTCCAACTTTTTCCTCTACGAAAATCGTTGTATCCACTATCCACACAGGTATGAACAGTTAGTTTTTAGCTAGATCTATAGATATTTAAATATATAATTTCAAATTAAATTTGGCCTTGGCCTACAAACAAATGGGCAAGTGATGAGCAGCATGCTTAATTTTTTACCGTAGCTTGCTAATAATTTTTATAAACAAATGATCACATAGTCCTACAAATAAACTAGTAGGACTTTTCAGTCCTACAATTTAATATTTTTTTGTTCTTAAAATATTCCTACAGCGATTATGTATGATGCTGTTTAAGAAATCAACATTTATTTTTTGTTATTTATTTATTGTTATTTGTTGTTAACGTGAAATATTTATAAAATACAAGGAAAAACAAAATTGATAAAATAACCTTTATTTATTAATTAAAATGTATTTATTGACAAGTCGTCATCGTCAGTTTCACTGGATAATTCATCTTCTCCGATGTTTCTTTCGACGGTATCCATTACGTCACTCATATAGTCGAATTCTGTAATAAAATAATTAAGAAATTCGTTAATTGCTGAATAATTGACGGGAATTTTTTTTATTTATTGGTTACCTGGATGTGTAGCAGAAATTTCAACAAAAGATGGACTTCGCGGACCATTAAACCAATAGTACTCGTATTTGCCGTTAATAATTGTCCATCCGTAATCTTCAGGCTACCTGTCAGTAGGATTTTGCATATGTGAATTACACCACAAGCTGCAAATATATTGAGTCCTTTTAATCTTTAAATTAGATCGATCGAACCCAACAATATATTTTTTTAATATTAACTCATTATCGTTTTTGCATTTATATTTTTTTTTCAAACAGTTTACACGGTTCCTTTCTTGATATCATCTTTTGTTCTTAATAAATAAAATAAAAAATTAAAAAAAAATCAACATTTTCATTTTACATTTACTTAAAAAATAAAGTATAAACTTACCTTTCATAACATAAATATTTAGGTTTTACTCTGAACTCCTTGTAACAACAAAAGTGGTAGCCTATTACATCGCCATCCCAATGGTCAGGCAAATTTTTTTATCCTCCCTCTTTTTTCACGAAAATTAGGTTTATCACGGGGTATATTACAAAGAATACACTCTATGATCACTTTCACAATTAAATGTTATAAAAGAAAATTAGTTAACACGTGTTGACAAGCCAAGTAAACAAAACTTTTTAATGCACAATGTATGTTGTATGCGTGCGCTGGACACTACGTTGCTAGGTTACGCGCATGCGCGTTGATGATGAATATATACCGCCGATTTGATATAAGCATGTGTATGTATACATACCACGTTTAAGTTAAGGGCAATTTTCGAAATTTTCCAGTGTAGGACTGAAAAAACCTACCATTTTATTTGTAGGACAAATGTTGTTTTAAATTATTTATCTGATTATCTCAAAACTTAATAACAATTAACAATAATCAATTTGACATGATTTGATACCCGTTCATTCTTTCAGCTACCTGTTTTGCAACTTTTCGCAAAATAATAGCGGACTGCTCCGTATCAGGAATTAAATACCATGGCTCGGATTTGATTTTTTCGGACGGCTGCTCGTTATTAAATATAAGGGGTCTTGTCTACCATCGATAAAAATGAAAACGTACAACAGCGTAATGTCCGATAGTTTATAATGCGACGCGTCACGACAGGCATTTTTTCGAGAAAATTTACGAATTTGTCGGACGAGCGGATAGCTCAAAACGAATTAAAAATGAATCGATCGCCGACGGCCCCCACTCTCTCCCAGTCCCGATTTTTTTCGGCCAACGCATCGAAACAAGCGCTCACACGAATGTCGTAAATATTGTATATGGGTTATTCTTCGCGTTAAATAAATAACGAGGGATATAATTTTTTAAAGATAGACGCTGCCCGAAACAAACACGCGACCGAGACCTCCATTTTTATATTGATTTGTGTTAATAAACAGTGGAAAATGTTGTAATAAGACAAGAAGGGAATGCTTTTTACAAAACTTCTGTATTCCTCCTGCGTCGGTTTTTACTTAGTCGCAATTGCTGACGTTTCGCCAATCATCCTGTTGGTGTCCTCAGAGCTTGACTGAAACTGACTGACTGAAAAACCGACGCAGGAGGAATCCAGAAATTTTGTAAAAAGCATTACAGTAGCCAGTGCAAGTTTCTTTGAAAAATTAGACAAGAAGAGAAATTGATTAATTTAAACAATTTAATTGGGCAATTGCTTAAAGCTGGCTTGTTTGGACTTTCACTATCTTTATTTGAATGACACCTTAATTTTTCAAGGGTATAATTAATAAAGATAGTAAAGAAAGTTTGTCCAAACAAGTAGGATTAGCAATTCCAAAAGGCATCATAACAAAATCTAATTTACAGCAGAAAAGCTTTTTTAACACTTATTATGTACACAACAGTTCTTTTATTGGTGTTCATAGCCACGCGATAGAAGCGCCTTTTGACACAAATTTGAAAAAAATTCCAAACTAGTGATAAAATATTGATGATCTTGATACTACGAGAATATGGCTAAATCTGAAAAATTAATTTTCTATAATTCACTAAGTTTGTTAAAAGGACGTCTCGGGTAAATTACCAATTATCACGTAAACGTAAATTTAAATGAAATTTTCCTCACCGTCTTCCATTTATCTTCAAATCAAATCGAGTTGGGGGTTTAGCAACTCCGGTCGAGCAGTGTATATATACGCGCCCGGCAAAAACACACATCAACTTGTTAATTTCTGGTCCCCCCTCTCATCTCCCCTCCACACAGTTTTAACATTCATTTATATTCGGTTCACGAGTGGTCCGCCGTCGCTATTAAATATTTTATACGTCCGTATTAAATGACTGCCGATTTCGACTTTCCCTCATCAGGGTTTTTGCCCGTTCGGTATTTCTCGTAGAAGGGTGGAGAAACTGTTTTATTCGCAGTTTCATTACTTTTAACGGCTTTATCAGCAACGTTCTCTTCAATTAAAAGGACATAAACAACATATACAGGGTGAGTAAAAATTGCTCACTGGTTTATTAAAAACTCGCTCCGCTGCGCTCCGCTGGGCTCCGCTCGTGTCAAATAAACTCGTGAGTCAAATGCCGTTTACCCCACTTGTTGCATAATATACTATTTCCTCACGCTTTCCGAATACCAATTATACCCATAACAATATCTTTTCTTCGATAGATAATGGAATGGTTCAAAATCTAAATATATTTTTTATTGTTGCTGTTGTTTGAAAATAACATCGTTTTTTATCATTATTTTTAAGTACATATATTTTTGTTTTATTTTTAACGAATAACATCAACATCCACATTGTTAAATTTCTTTCCAGCTAGGAAGCTTGAAGTGAGTATGGTAGATGAGGTAGTAGCCCCCAACCCAGATCGTTAATTTTTTCATGTGGTCTGGCATTGTCATGGTACAGAATAATGCCTTTTCTGTTTTCGAAAACTGGACATTGTTTGGTCAGAGATTGGTTGACACGATCCAACTGTTAACAAAGGGCGAAAACTCCACCAAACACACAAGAGAGCCTTCCTTGGGTGAAGGCCCGGTTTCGCAGTCGGTTGGGTGTTTCATTTGGGAACAGCCATTGCCTTTTGCGTTTCGGAGTGTCATATGTCCGATTAGCTTTGTTTGCCGCAGATAAGTCATGCGGAACCCAAACACCTGCTCTGCTTCTCTTACCTATATGTACCAAATGAATGAATGGTCGACCAAGGTTGGTTAAGTGCTTGTGACAGCTCTTCAATTGCCTGACGAGGACCCGTCTGTCTGTAGGATTCTGCAATGTTCTTGTCGGTCTGTCGCAGGAAAACCTCCACGAAAACCAATAAAGATGGCCTATCGCAGGAAACTTAATACGATTGAAAGAACGATAGACGTACTCACACACATTTTAACACTTTCGTTTCAAATAAAGGCGACCTCAAAGGGAAATTACCGCGCCCGCCTTTGACTGATAAAGGAACAATTTATCGCAGCGACAGAAATACGAGCCCGGAATATTAAAGGGGGCATCTGCACCGTCTTTTATTCAGCCTTCTGGAGTTGGAATTAGCGAGGGACTATATTCGCTGCTGTCGTAGCAAGCAATTAAAAAAAAATAATAAAATCACATTTAACGTAAATATTTAATCAAATGCAATGAAATACAATCGCGGGTCGTAGCAAAAACAATGCAATTAAACCGAATGTTTTTAGACTATAGATGGAATAATGGCCATTTCGCAAATGTATTAATTTAAACATTATTCATGAATTCGATACGATCGGTAAGGGGATTTACCCTTGGTAGACGGCTTTTATTCCGTCAACATTAATTGAAGACAAAAAAAAAATATACGAATATAAATTACTTTTAAACACGCCCTACCACCCAATATTTGGGTTTATTTTATGTGATATTTTGGCTAAATTCAAATCACGAATCAACCATAGCTTTACTTATGCCTGCTATTTTTATTTCGTAAATTCCTGTGGGTGTTGTTGATTTTGGTGACAATTCGGAGCCGTTATGTATTCGTCGATGTATTGAAGAAAAACATTAAAGAAAAAGCCCTACTGGATCAAAGTACAGGGTCTAGAGGAAGAAACCGACAGACTTGGAATTGTTTTGGAGATACAATGCAAAGAGGTCCTTTGAATTATCGATTTCTGCCAATAACACGGCGAATGTTGTCTTCGAAATGGTCAAGCGTTTGTGGCTTATCCGCATTGACCACAGAAAGTAGTCTAGCGGTGTTAAATCACAAGATCTTGGAGGCCAATTCACAGGTCCAAAACGTGAAATTAGGCGATCGTCTTTCAATAAATCGATTGTTGAAACCACATCTCCTGGACATCATGGTTATTCAATTCAGGAATGAAAGAGTTAGTAATCATAGCTCTATACCGATCACCATTGACTGTAACGTTCTGGCATCATCGTTTTTGAAGAAGTACGGACCAATAATTCCACCAGCCCTTAAAGCGCACCAAACAGTCAGTTTTTCTGGATGTAACGGTATTTCGAAATACGCTTGAGGATTAGCTTAGCTCCAAATGCGGCAGTTTTGTTTGTTGACGTAGCCATTCAACCATCGATAAACAAAATTCGCTTACTTGATGATCGTTCGGCTTCAATTCTTGCACGAGTTGGATTTTGTAAGCACGTAAACCAAGATCCTTCCGCAAAATCTTCCATAAAATGGATGGACACAGATCCAATTCCTGTGCTCGATGGCGGATGGACTCATTCGGGTCTTCCTCAATGCTACGCTCTAGAGCAGCAATAGCTTCTTCGTCTCTGGGGATGCGAGTTATCAATAAGAGTAAACGTGGTTCGAAAACGTTCCATGGTTAATCAAATTAACTGCTCTGATCGACGATTTTGTCGACGATAAAATGGACGGAATGGACCATTATTTCCGAAATAAAATTGCACTATTTGCAAGCGTTGTTCAGGCGTGAGTCTATTCATGATGAATTGCCAAACCAAACAGAGAATAAATCACTTGAGACCTGTTAAATCGGTCGCCATCTTGAACAGTAATGCCAACTTGAAGCCCAGTCATTTTCCTATTAACCTGACTTTTTATCAGTAAGGGTATTTCACTCAGGTATATGTTTGATGTTGATATCTTTCAGAAAACATCTTGGTCACTTAGGGTATTAAGTACTCCCATGACGATGTTAAAATTCTTCATGGAATAGCAGTGAGGCCAAGATTTGCATCAGTGTTTTAAAAATATCCAAAACATCCGATCGCTAGAGTAATAATAATAATAGAGTAATAATAATAATAACAAAGCAAATTACATGAGAAATAAACAAATCTAATTAAAACCTCACCTAAATCTATAAATAAATTAGAATCTGACCCCCAAACCTTTTAAGTGACCTATACGTCCATCACGCGTCACTATAACGTTGTAGCCAGCGGGTAAACTGCTTTTATTAACTCTCTCAGCCACCATCAAACATTTACAATCACCGGCTAGTCGAACACCTCTTCCGTTTTTAAATTAGCCCCCAAAGATTGATGATCCACACATTCCAGAAGATCCCTGGGTTGAAATCTTTGCCTGGGATTAGATTACTTCGACAACACGTCAAATCGGCCAAACATGCTTGCCTTGGTCACCAATT